GGTAGAGGATTTCTGGCCGGGGGAGAGGGGGGAACAGATCAGGGTGGTTTCGGAGGTGGGGGTGGTTCTCGTCTTAGTGGTGAGATACCTGGGGGAGGTGGAGGGTACTCCGGGGGAAGTGGAGGTGCGAATAAAGATATTTCCTGTGGGGGAGGGGGAGGTTCTTTCAACAACGGAACAAATCAGCAAAATGAATGTTGTTATAATACCGCTGGACATGGTAAAGTGATCATTACATTTCTTCATTGAAATGCATGGCAGCACTTTCCCTAGCGTGTGGTGGTAATTCTGTTTTGAAGCGCTAATTGATATTGGTTTTCAAACTCAATTGCTTTTAATTTTTTTAGGTCATTATTTAGATTTTATTATTAAGCCGTGTTACTGTAAACAAACAGCGCAACATGTGGTTCTAGAGCCGTTTATATTTGAGGTTAGAATTAAAATTCACAAACAACATTTGCAAGAATAAGTGAGTTTGTGAATTTTTACCGGCCTAACCTTCTCCCCCGGGGGGGAGGGATGGAGTACGGGAGGGGGAAGGGACGGGGGGAAGGGATGGGGAGATGATGCATGAATATTTAGGTGATAGAAAACAGTGAACAACAGATTCTCCTACCTCTTTATTCAATCAGATTCCTACGCGTTAAAAGCATACAATATTAAGGTGAGGCAAGATTATAGTTTGTAATCTCCAGGGTGAGGACAATGTTAGCTACAAATTACTTTGGCCTATAGAATAAAGAAGATACTAATGCCAGGGCTGTTTAGACCTTAAATAGCGGGCATGGTGGGAAGTTACTGATAACTGGTCAAATAATAACATATGGGTAATGAAGACTAAGTAGTAATTTTGTAGAGAAACAGTTGTGAAGTCAGCTCTTCATATTCTTGTGCATTTAATGTCAGTGAATACATATTTAACAATGTAAAGGTATGCAGTCAATCTTTTTTTCTCGATCAGCTCAAAACCAAAAGTGATTTTCACTAATGATACAGTCAGTGTGACCCGGCTTCTTTAATTTTTTTGCCCGTTCACCTTCTAAATGTTGCTGTGCATGACACTGACTGTAGGCGATGGCACATTCAAGTTAACGCAAAACCTTATTTACTTGTTATATTTTGTTTTTCTGCTAACATCTGGAATGTCTTTTCAGGAGGCTCTCGTGCTCTTCGTCACTTAAAGTGGAGTAAAGCGCTGTAATTTTCACGAAGTTGGAAAGAATGATTCTGCTTAATAATAGTTAGAAATATATTGAGAACATTCTTTGCTGGTGGATTGACTAGAAGCTTCCAAGAATTGTTTCTATGAGTTACAGAAAAGAGCAATCACTTTCCCTATATTGTCGGTTTATAGTGTAGATTTAGTAACCTCTAGTGAAACTCAATAAATTGATATCTGGCTGTCAGTATTTTCATGTTTGTTAGTTAAACCTAAATTATAAAGTCACGTCAACTGAGAGCAAGGTAAATTTGTGAAAGAATGAAAAAAGTATCTATGTATCTAACAGGAAAGTTCGTGGATCCCCCAACTTTACTCATAGCTTTTATTCGTCCTTGATGTTTTTTTTTCGCAGCACACGAAAACCAGCCTTGAATGAAGGTCTTTGCAGGGTAAAAATTGTATGATGCATGGATATTTAGGTGATGGAAAACAGTCAACACAAATTATTTTCTATGACAGCCTTGTGTAGCAGGACATTCCTGACGGCAGCTATAAAAAGCGTTGCAAATTGTTTGAGGCCTTCCAACGCAGTTTCTGATTAGACTTCTGATTGAGCAATCGGAAGATATTAACTAAATAATTCACACACACTTTTCATAAGACATTAATCACTCATTACAAGTGTCTCCTTTACTGAACTTAACTTCAGCGGAATACAACGAAGGTACTATTAAGTACAAAGTCAAATTCGCTAAATTGGTGGTGAGTTGCTACATAAAAACTCATCCTTGTAAATACGGCTTATTATTCACTCGCACAAAATGAAAACAAAAAGGAAGTAAAAAGAATTGTGACAATCAAGAACAGTTTATTTGACCAGATCATTAACAATGTTTTTCTTTCCTTGGAAGCTTTTATCTTATTACTTCTTATCTCTCTTTCATTAGTCTGCACAATGATAATGAATCCATTTACACTGCATCAAGAAAAGTCAACATAAACGTGGTACTTTTGTTTTAAAAACTTGCAAGAAAATCGATAAAACCCAAGAAATAAAACTATAAAAAAATTGACATGTCACCATCGCTGTGCAGAGCAAACATATTTTAGGGCATCCTGAATCTATGAAAAATAATTCAACACTCGCATGATTTTGGTCTCTTAAATGAAAAAAGGGAAAAAAAGAACTTGCTAAATTTGAGAGTAATTCATCAAAAAATGAGTCACTACGTAACCGAATTGCAAGAAAGAAAATAACCTTTTATAATGCAGAAGTTTAGGTGCGGCAAATGTTTCGTTGAAAATCAATCTGGCTAAGGTGGTGTAATTTAACCATCAATATTGTTAAAGATCTTCACAAAAATGACAAATTTGTACTGTGGATCGTAACGCAGGGGGACCGCTTTTCTTGGATCAGTAATCTCGTTTCCTTGTTAGTCACAGCAGTTTGTCCAAGCTTTTGGGACCACAATCCACCGGGGGGGGGGGATGGAGGGCATAAGTCAAACATGTACGAACTTGTACGAATGACACTTGATTACATGAAAAATTAGCTTCACCTCACAATCAAAGAATAAGAAATAAATATGAGTAAAAAACAAATTATCCGTTAGCCGCTAACCCCAAAATTTTGGAACATCAACTTGTTGCGGTAAAACGGTCGTCTTTATTTTACGCTCAAGTGTGGGCGAACAAGGAATGCGTGTAAACAGTTGGTAAAGTACGGTGGCCCACAACTGGCACGGCAGAAGAAATAACCTCGCGGCAAAAGAAATAACAATGTCCTCACGGCATAAAAGAGGGCGTGGGGGCCGGGACGAGCTGTCGAGGTGCATCATGGGATAAGAAAATGCAGTAAAGGGGTCAGCGGCTGATCATCGCTTCCCGCCATTTCTCTCGCCGTGAGTCTCTTTCTTTTGCCCCGAGGTTATTTCTTTTACCGTGACAGTTGGGGGCCACCTTAGTAAAGAGTATTATTAACTTCTTCATGCGTCGCACTCATACGGATATAATTAAGCTAGAATAAAACAACACGTGAGGGACATCTTCCTCTGTTTTCATTCAAATTACAGGCCATTGACATGCATTAAGTATAATTGTGTTTCACCAATCAACTGGTTCACAGGGAAACTAATTCAGTTCTGAGCCTCATAACCAGACATCAGGAGGTGATGTATTTGAACCAAAAAATAAAACTGCAGCTGTCTCATTTCGCTAGATGTTTATCTTAAGGATGAAAACTCACTCAAGCTATTCGCTGGAATTATAACGCGCGTTTCTTTCTGAGGACATGCTGTCTGTTTTCTAATGCTTAGTTCTCACCGCTTTGGCTTCCCTAAGACCAGAAGAACAAGGTAAGATTTTCCTATACCCAATTCACACCAATGCTTAAACATGTTTTAAGGCTGTTTACTTAAATATGGTTGAAAATTGTCTTCTTAGCAGCTCCTAAAACCAATTTTTTTCGACTTCAAATTTAGCAGAATGAAAATATACACTAGTGTTTTCTTGAAACCTATGGAAAATTCAGTTATTCACATCTCTGTTTTAATTCAACCCGGCTGATGTTGTGAATGGGGTATTATTTGTACATGTTGTCTAAGAACTATTTCAAAGTTTCCTTAATCATCATATAACTTTTTATTATCCTTATCTACATAACTAAGGCTTGAAAATATTCAAATTAGTACTTAATACAATAATTATTTCATTCATCTACATACCTGGAGTGGCATGAGACAACCACATATTTCAAAGGATGTTTTTATTTTATTTTGCAATATTTTTTTTGAAAATGACAAAATTCAAATATGTAAAATTTTAGGGAACATGGTTTCTGGGCTGAGCCAAAAGGGAAGGTTTACTTTGAATAAACAGTCACTGTCTCTACAATGATGTCCGTGAACCATGTTTAATTTTTGACTTTTTGATGGTACACGATGGATAAAATGACTACTGGCAGACCTTGAAAAAAATGAGCGCCTTAATTTTCGCGCTGTTTGGCTGTTTGGTACAGTTCGGCTTCAAAGTTGATGTAAAGGCTGGTTCCGTTTTTCATTAAACGTAAATCGAGAGGTTCATGTACTTGAATGAGTGGGCAGATGAAATGAATAAGTTATTACCGATCCACCGCAGAAAGAAAGTTTAGAATTAGCCTGCGGAACAATTTCACTTCACCCAGCCAAAACAGGTGATTTCAACAGAAAAATTTGTTACAAACTTTACTCAGTCTCATGTAATCGTAACAGAGACTGATGGCAATGATCGAGTCATTGAGTTCCTTAGGATATTTTAGGTTCAAAAGTATACTTTCAGCCTTTATAGTGTACGATCCAGTACGAGTGTGTAGTCATGAAGATATTACACCGAAGCCGAAACAAATTAGACGAATGACCGCCTCTGCACCGGGAAAAATGAATTGTCGGCGGTATCTCCACTCGATCAATTTCTCGTCCGCTCATTCATTCAAAATTGTCCAGACCTTGAAAAGCTCATAATTTCCCAAAATTTTCAAGTCCTTTTACATTACTTTCAGCTCTCATTTTCCCTGCACCCCATTTCCAGGACCACCGTAAAATGGAAGAATTTTCTCCTCCAGTCATTTTCTCAATAATTTATTTTGAAGGCTAAATGTTTTCATCTTGCGATAAGTCTTTAAATAAGGGAATAACAGAAGAGCGGGGTGGTTGGAGGTCCTGTTGTTCTAATTATACAATGTTCTTATTCAGCCTTGAGAAAAAAAGGTTTACTCACTGATGTCTATGAATTTCGTTTTTCAGGAAAAATGCTGTGGATATTTCAATATTTTCTTGCCTGTGTTTCGGTCACCAGCCTTGTAACCGCTGGGGATCAATGCAGGATAGAAATTAACATTCGTGGCATGGCTCTCAAAGGTTTCGTTTTCAAGAGAATGACAGTAGCAGCTCCTCATATCTGTGATTTCTTATGTGAAAAGGAAATTACCTGCCAGAGCTATAATTTCAACAGAAAAGAACAGATCTGTGAATTAAACAACCGCACAAAGGACGCAAGACCCGAGAATTTCCAGTCGGATCTAGCGTGGTTTTATATTCGTCGTTTGAACGGAAGAGGTAACTATTCAGCCAATAATGTTGGATAATAATTATCAATATTTTGGTTATACGCTCGACTTCGCTTACAGTCCTTGTTTTCTGATCTCCCACGCTCATCGGTATTGATTTTTCTATCATTTCTCAATTCTAATGATGAACGATATTAGTTCTATCCCTTTTCTTTGTAGTTGCTTTGTAGTTTCCCACCAAAAGCGTAGCTCCAAGTTCTGCCGATAGATACACAACCCACAATTCCTCCATTCCCTCTGACGAGGGGCTAGCGCTCGAAACATCTGTTTTGAAACTCTGAATAGTGGTCAACTTACGTTATCAACTCAGTTGATAGCACCAAATTACCTTGTTATACTCTCCCACCGACGCAGCACCACAGTTTCTTTAGAAACTTACCCCCTTTATTCAGTTTAACTTTTAGTTAACTTCTTCACAGAACAGCTTTGATGCATGTGTGAAATAGTGACAACAAATTATTTCTTTCTTTCTTCCTTAAAATGATACAAAACGCTTAAGGTCTGGGAAGAAGATAAAAAAAGCTGGTAGCTCTAAAGGAAGGGTTTAAAAGTGAGGGGTCCCACTTCCTAAGAGAAGGGAGCTTGACAGAGCGTTTAATTTAACACATTCGAAGGCGGAATTTGAGTGATTGGAATTAGATCCTCATTGTAATTCTCTTGTGCTTTTCACTCTCGGCTTTCGACTTGCGCACCTACATATACTTTATTTTCAACATTTTTACCTACATACCAGCTCCCTTGGGTTCGATTCCGGAGTTACCAGCACGTTCATGCCGAGAAATAACAGCAAGCGAAGGGAAAAATACTGCAAGCAACAAATACTGGCTGGATCCATCTGGCACAGGAAGTGCAGTTTTGGTTTACTGTGATATGAATTTGGAAGGTAAATCATCATTACGTCACCGTTAGTTTCACTTTCTGTTTGAATTGTAGATTCTTTTAATAGCGTCTCTCTGTTTGTGAGAGCTAAGAAGTGTTTTGCGACAGCTAAGAAGGGTTTTGCGACAACTAACAAGTGTTTTGCAAAACTAACAAGTGTTTTGCGAAACTGACAAGTGTTTTGCGAAACTAACAAGTGCTTTGCAACAACTAAAGAGTTTGGCGACAATTTGAATCTTCTTCTACATGTTATGCAAGACTATTTTTCTTATAAATTAATGTGTGGGTTTTTATAACTGTGCGAAAACTAAGAACTAAGAAGTGTTTTGCGACAACTAGGAAGTGTTTTGCGACACCTAAGAAGTGTTTTGTGACAACTAAGAAGTGTTTTGTGACAACTAAGAAGTGTTTTGTGACAACTAAGAAGTGTTTTGCGACAACTAAGAGGTGTTTTATGACAACTAAGAAATGTTTTGCGACAACTAAGAAGTGTTTTGTGACAACTAAGAAGTGTTTCGCGACAATTAGGAAGTGTTTTGTGACAACTAAGAAGTATTTTGTGACAACTAAGAAGTGTTTTGTGACAACTAAGAAGTGTTTTGTGACAACTAAGAAATGTTTTGTGACAACTAAGAAATGTTTTGCGAAAACTAAGAAGTGTTTTGCGAAAACTGAGAAGTGTTTTGCGAAAACTGAGAAGTGTTTTGCAAAAACTGAGAAGTGTTTTGCGAAAACTGAGAAGTGTTTTGTGACAACTAAGAAGTGTTTTGTGACAACTAAGAAGTGTTTTGCGACAAAGAAGTGTTTTGCGACGAAGAAGTGTTTCGCGAAAACTAAGAAGTGTTTTGCGACAACTAAGAAGTGTTTTGCGACAACTAAGAAGTGTTTTGTGACAACTAAGAAGTGTTATGGGACAACTAAGAAGTGTTTTGCGACAACTAAGAAGTGTTTTGTGACAACTAAGAAGTGTTTTTGCGACAACTAAGAAGTGTTTTGTGACAACTAAGAAGTGTTATGTGACAACTAAGAAGTGTTTTTGCGACAACTAAGAAGTGTTTTGTGACAACTAAGAAGTGTTTTTGCGACAACTAAGAAGTGTTATGGGATACATTACTACATTGACTTTTGTGTTCCTCAATTTTGATGAATTGTGGGAGATGAATCGTACTTTATTCGAATGTGGTTTACGAAAATCAGTAGAGATGAAGGATGGCAGAGTGTACGACATTACGTCGACATTGGAAAAGACAGTTAAACTGAGCAGCGCCAAAGTTAAATGCAAACACCGCGACAGATCGTTCAAAGTTCAACAATATTCGGACAGCCACGTACAATTCAAGCACCCGGCCTCTGCCGCACAGAACCCGAACAGCAATATTTCAGCATCTATAAAAACATTGACTATTTTTGTAGACATCAACAACCACTCAGGTAAAACAAACATGCACAGAATGGCTGAGAGTCAACAGCTTGAGGATGTGCCACGTGAATTGGCCGGTGTTGCGCAAGGTCAAACTCAAAGGCGAAGCAACACTCGAAGGGGAAGTAACGAGCGAAAGTCCTACACCATCGTATTCATAAAAAAAAACACTAGATCTTTGGATTCACTGAAATTATCAACAACTTAGTACAACACAGCTGTAAAACAACAAGGAGTCACCAGATCGCTGGAAATAAAGTGGGAAGAAAACAGAGGCAAAATTCTTGCAGAACTGACTATGAACAGGACAAAGAAGAACACAGGTGACGCAAAGCCAATGAAACAAAGGGAGAGGATCGCTAAGGACAGGTCCTCATGCACTGATAAATACCCTCTGCCTTCCAATCTTTTACTCGCCAAGTTTAAACTACGGAGAGCAGCAGGAAGCAAAGTGTCCAAACTTTGGTTAAAAAGTAATGAAATTGAAAATTGAAGCATGCTATGGCGCAGAAGAAGCTGCAAAATTTAAGGGAAGCAGCTACTGGTTCCAGAGATTCAGAGAAAAACACAACACATTACTGAGGAGAAGGATCAACTAGTAAAAAAAAAAAAGACTGGGCAGAAGATGGCCGGGATACGATCCAGAAATTCCAAAAGGATTTGAGGAAAGCCTCGAAAACACAAAGGAGAAGAAACAAGTCTTATACAGTTGACCCAAAGAATGCAAGATTGATACCTTAAAATAGATATAATATCGACCAGGTAGGTTCCTGTCTCATTTGTAAACGAGCAAGATAAAACCTACGACACATTGGGTGCTAAGCAAGTGTGCGTGTCACAACCATCTTTTGGTTTAAATAAACGATAGGCTACTCTACAACTTTGTATCGGGGCTGATGGGGAACAAAATGTGAGGCCAGCTCTTATCTTCAGAGGAAAAGGGCGTGTGACCACTGAGGAGAAAGAAAAGTATGACAAGAGAGTTGATGTGTATTTCCAGCAAAATGCCTGGATCGATGAAGAGATCAACATGCAGCGGGTTCAGGGTACACTTATTCCAGAAATAGAGAAAGACAAACAGGAAAAAGTCCTACTTGCAAACAATGTCGGCTTCCAGCAAAGTCAACAATTCCATGAAACATGCAGAAATCAGATCAACACTACAGTTTACATGTTGCCTGAAAACCACACTGACAAAATCCAGCCCATTGATGCAGGACGTGGTCGGTTGATGAAAGGCAAAATTGGTGCAACAATGGAAACATGGCTGGAAGAGGAGAACAATCTCGATAAATGGCAGGATAGACTTTCAGCAAAGGATAGAAGAAGACGGATTGCGCCCACGATTCGCTTTCCTCAGTCCGTTTGGATTAAACGTGGGTACTCTTATTTGTCTGCTCCGGATCTTCATTCTGACATTGACATAACGATTTTCATGGATGTGCAATCTAACCCGGATGTGTCTCTCGATGATGACTCAACCGCCTCAAAGGTTTGAAAGATTACCCTGCTATAGCAGCTAGTTTACAGAGGGGATAATGATGTTGTTTGTGTTTGTGAGACCTGGCTCAATGACTCTGTCATGGACTGTGAGCTGCTTTATGGCTACTCTTTCTATCGAAGGGGTAGAGAAGGACGCGTCGGCGGCGGTTTATTGTTCGCTATTAAAACTGATCTACAGCCTTTAAAATTTAAGCTGTCTAAGTCTGTTCGCGCTACACCTACGATTTCAAACGCGGGAATTTTCAAGATATTTGCAGTCTCCTGTCACAAACCCCTTTGGAAATTGCACTTTCTGGAGGCTTTGACGAGAGCTGAGCTTCATGAAAGGATTTGTTTTTGTCAGCTGTAGACCAATGTACACCTACTAAGTCTGTAAAAGATACTAACTCGCCTCCCTGGATAGACAGTGAAGTTCGCCATCACATTCCTAACAAATATGGGGTTCTGAGGAAATATCGCCTAAATAAGTCCGAAGATAACAATCTGAAACTGCGCTCCTTGAGTCAACATGTTAAGTACCTGGTTAAAAGAAAACATCGCCTTTATTTGGAGAAAATTGAAGGCGCATTTTCTGAGAATCCAAAATTCTTTTGGAGTTATCATAAAGCCGTTCTGCACCACCGAGCCAAACCAAATTCAGTGATAACCTATAACGGCATAGAGGCTACGACCCCAGCTGAAAAGTGGATCTTTCAAATTCTTATTTTTCATCCGTCTTTTCTCCTCCGAGTCCCGTTGTAAACAACGATATTTCCGCTCTTTCAGTGCACCAGTTATGCAAATAACGAAGTTGCAAATTGTTTAGCTACTTTGGTTACCTCTAAAGCGTGCGGCTCCGATAACACTCCTCCAGCCTTCTAAAATAATGTAGCAATCAAATTGCACCTAGTCTTTGTTCAGTTTTCAATCTCTCCTTACGAACTGCTCGCATACCGTCTGAATGGAAATAAGCCAATGTCACACCGGTACGTAAAAAGAACTCTATGAAACCGGCTGAAAATTCTAGGCCTATTTCCTTGTTATGTACTCAAAGCAAAGTCCTGGGACGCTGTGTCTGTATTAAACTTTACGATTATGTTAAACAATACATCAGGCATCTCCAGCATGGCTTTTTGCGAAATTGCTCCTGCGACACACAGCTGTTATCTGTTCTTATTACCACTGGTCATAACCTGGACAAAAATATTTAAACAGATGTTATCTACCTGGACTTTGCCAGCTTTCGATTCCGTCGATCACTCAGTTTTGCTTCAAAAGCTCAAACGATATGGTGTGGAAGGCGACACGCTTTCCTGGTTTACAGATTACCTAAGTTGAAGATCTCAAAGGGTCATTTTGGATGGTGTTGCCTCGCAGTGGGTCCCAGTTACATCAGGAGTTCCTCAGGGCAGCCTACTTGGCTCATTTCTATTTTTTTTAATTAATGATCTGCCAGGTGTTCTACCGGAAGGTACTCAATCTGCTCTCTGCGCGGACGACACTAAAGTCTTCAGTTCCATCTCGTCTATAGCAGATTGTGAACGACAACAACAAACTCTGAAAAACCTTAATTCCTGGACTCACGACAATAACATACGATTCAATGCCTCTAAATGCAAAGTTCTAACTATAACGCGCAAGAAAAAGCCTTTACTTCAAGACTTTTTCTAGGCCCTGAAAAAGTACTGCACGTGCGTAAGGAGAGGATCTGGGTGTAGTTATCTCGGACAAACTTACCTGGGACTCCCATGTACACTTGATTACAGCAAAAGAAAACAAAATTTTAGGTCTGCTAAAGAGATCATATCCCTTGTTAACTAAAGTGGCAGTAAGGTCCTTGTATTCAGCGATTGTGAGGCCTTACCTTTGTTAAGGAACTGAATGCTGACATTTTGCTCTCTCAGTTTGCTTGTAGGATTGGGAACCTTGGAGAGAGGGAGGGGGGGGGGGGCTGGTGCATTATGAATTTGCTTGACTTTTGCTGCGTTTTCAGTTGTTCATCACCAGAACTGCTACCCCTCCCCCCCTCTCCCCCAACGTAATATTATTACCTTGATTAATGTGGCTAAGGTTAGTTCCATCCATGAATTGATTAAAACATTCTGCTTGCACATTGATTTCATCTGTTAGTAGTCTATGCAGTATTTAATATTTAGGAACAATTTTCAGGCTGGTTTTGCAGAAAACACCCGATTTATAAGAACAAAATCGGCCTGAACCACTAAAACACGTGTTCTTTTAAGCAAAGCCAAAAGTAATCGTTACAATTTCTTACTAATATCATAACCTTTATTCTTTTGTGTATGTGTTATACGAAGGATTTACAGCTGTTTTTACAAATCTTGGTAAGAGTGGAACAAAGGGTCCGGACTCAGTTGGCAGTCACTACACAGGTCAGGATCATGACGGACAAGTTACAGTGTCCAGCGGTATTCAACTGTGGACTGTGCCGCACACTGGTGAATACAGAATAGAAACAATAGGAGCCTCGGGGGGGTACAGTAAGGACAGTGTCATCAACGGAGGGAGAGGGGCGCGGATGATTGGAAACTTTATGTTGACCAAAGATGAGATCATTCGTATACTTGTTGGTCAAAGAGGACAAAAAGCGTATTCTAACGAAAAAACTGGCTCAGGCGGAGGAGGTACATTCGTAGTAAGAGGAGACAACAAGCCTTTGATCATAGCCGGAGGTGGAGGAGGAATTGCAAAAATGACAGAACAACATTCAGGATGTGATGCGTCCATAAACACAACAGGAAATGCAGGGTATAACTCGCCATCCCTGTCTGGAGGAAGTAACGGAGAAGGAGGACAAACTTATAAACTGCACTCTGGTAAGTGAAGAATTTCCCACCCATGGATACTGAATTTTTTTTTTTGCATTCTACTGTCATCCATCAGTATTTCGAACAAAGATAGGAACTAATCGCTCAAATTTGGATTTTTTTTCAGAATTACTAAAAGCCATGATCTGTTAAGTTGCTAAGGTCAACAGTAAATCTTTTGATTTTAGGTGGTGCTGGCGGCGGCTTTTACAGTAATGGAGAGGACTCAGAGACTTCTGGTCGAGGCGGAAAGGGAGGTAAAGGATTTCTGGGCGGGGGAGAGGGGGGAGCACATCAGGGTGGGTTCGGAGGTGGGGGTGGATATCATGTAGGTAAAGATTTGCCTGGGGGGGGTGGAGGGTACTCCGGAGGAAGGGGAGGTGCGAATAAAGATATTTTCTGTGGGGGAGGGGGAGGGGGAGGTTCTTTCAACAACGGAACAAATCAGCAAAATGAATGTTGTTATAATACTGCTGGACATGGTAAAGTGATCATTACATTTCTCCATTGAAATCCATGGCAGAACTTTCCTTAGCGTGTAGTGGTAATTCTGTTTTGAAGCGCTAATTGATGTTTGTTTTTAAACTCAATTACTCGTAATTTTTTTGGGTCATTATTTAGATTTTGTTATTAAGCTGTGTTACTGTAGGACAAACAGCGCAACTTGTGGTTCTAGAGGCGTTTACATTTGAGGATAGAATTAAAATTCACAAACAACATTTGCTAGAATGGGTGAGTTTATTAATTTTTACTGACCTTACTTTCTCCCCCGGGAGGGAGGGACGGGGGAGGGGATGGGGGAGGGATGGAGGAATACTAAACATGGCGCATACGTTCTCATTTGTATGATGTATGAATATTTAGGTGATAGAGAACAGTGAACAACAAATGATCCCACTTCTTTATTCACACAAATTCTTGCACGTTAAAAGCATACAATATTAGGGCGAGGCAAGATAATAGTTTATAATCTCCTAGGTGAGGGAAATGTTAGCTACAAATTACTTTCACTTATAGAATAGAGAAGATACAAATGCCAGGACTGTTTAGACATCAAATAGCGGGCATGGGGGGAAGTTAGTGATGATTAGTCAAATAATAACTGAGAAATAATTTTGTAGAGAAACAGTTGTGAACTCAGCTCTTCATATTGTTGTGTATCTAATTTCAATGAATACAGATTTAACAATGTAAAGGTCCATTATGTAGTCAATCTTTTTTTCTTGATCAGCTTAAAAGCAAAATCGATTTTCACTTATGATACAGCCAGTGTCACACTGCTTCCTTAATTTTTTCCCGTTGACCTTCGATATTTTGCTGCGCATGACACTGATTGTAGGTGATGGCACATTCAAGTTAACGCAAAACTTAATCTACTTGTTATATTTTTGTTTTTCTGCTAACATCTAGAAGGTCAGTTCAGGAGGCTCTCGTGCTCTTTCACTCAAGGTGGAGTAAAGCGCTGTAGTTTTCACTTAGTTGGAAAGAACGATTCTGCTTAATAACAGTTAGAAATATATTAAGAACATTCTTTGCTAATGGATTGACTTAAAGTTCCCAAGAATTGTTTCTATGAGTTACAGAATAGAACAATCACTTTCCCTATATTGTCGGTCTATAGTATAGATTTATTAAACTCTAGTGAAACTCAATAAATTGATATCTGGCTGTCAGTATTTTCTTCGTGTTTTTTAGTTAAGCGTAAATTAGAAAGTCCTATCAACTGAAAGCAAGGTTAATTTGTAAAAGAACGAAAAAATATCCATGTATCTGACAGTAAAGTTCGTGGATCCCCATCTTAAAAATTATTTCTGTCCGAGCACGATTTTTCACTTCGAATGATTTATTTTACGCTCAAGTGTGGGCGAACGAGAAACGCGTGTAAACATTTGGTAAAGATTATTATTGACTGCCTCATAATTTGAACTCATACGGACATAATTAAGCCACAATAAAAAAAAATACTCAGGAGGGACATCTTCCTCCATTTATTCAAATTTTAGGCCATTGACATTGACATTGAGTGTCACCAACCAACTGGTTCCCAAGGAAACTAATTCAGTTGTGACAACCATTGAGAACCTCATAATCTGTCAAAGGAGGCGATGTATTTTAACAAATATCAAACTGCAGCTGTCTCATTTCGCCCAATGTTTCCCTCAAGGAGGAAAAACTAACTAATAGCTATTCGTTGGAATTATAACGGGCGTTATTTCTGAGGACATACTGTCTGTATTCTACTGTTTCGTTCTCACCGTTGAGAGAAAGAGGAAGTAAAAAGAATTGTGACAATCAAGAACAGTTTATTTGAATAGATCATTATATAATATTTTTCTTTCCTTGGAAGCTAGGAGCCTTTTATCTCATTACTTCTTCTCTTGCTTTCATTAGTCTCCACAATGATAATGAATCCATTTACACTGCATCAAGAAAAGTCAACGTAAACTTGATACTTTTGTTTTTAAAACTTGCGAGAAAATGGATAAAAACCGAGAAATAAAACTATAGAAAAATTGACATGTCACCATTCGCTGTGCATGGCAGACATATTCTAGGGAAAGAAATAAAACTTTAAAAAAATTGACATGTAAAACATATTTTAGGACACCCTAAATCTATGGAAAATAATTCAATACTCGCATGATTTTTGTCTCTTAAATGAAAAAAAGGGAAAAAAGAACTTGCTAAATTTAAGAGTAATTCATCAAAAAATGAGTCACTACTTAACTGAATTGCAAGAAAGAAAATAACCTCTTATGATGCAGAAGTTTAGATGCGGCAAATGTTTCGTTGAAAATCAATCTGACTAAGATGGTGTAATTTAACCATCAATAATATTGGTAAAGATCTTCATAAAAGTGACAAATTTGTACTGTGGACCGTAAGGTAGGGGGACCGCTTTTCTTGGATCAGTAATCTCGTTTCCCTTCCCATCCTTGTTAGTCACAGCAGTTTGTCCAAGCTTTTGGGACCACAATCCACTTTGATCCAAGCGGTAACAGTGATAATCTACACCTGAAAAATATGGAAACGATGGCGAAAAAGAAAACTACGTGGGGCAAATTACATCAGCTCCAAACCAGGGACATCTGGTGTGGTATGAAATCAAGATTGTAATACCTTATTACGAACTACAGGCGGGGGGAGGGGATGCTTTTCGGTGGAAAGATAGAGGTCTGAGGGTCATCAAATTCTGCTGTAGTATTCGTCTCTCTTAACCTTATTCTAACTCTATTTCACACCGAAAACTATATCTAGACTTGACCCAGCAATTTCACCTTATTCAGTCATCTCTCGAAGATACCTTTATCACAGCTCAAGATACGCTTTCATTTCATCGTTTATCGAACTTCATTTGAGACCAGTGTTTCAATATCAAGTCGTAGATTCGCCCAAAGAGAACATAAATCCTTTGAAAGACTGCCGGTCGCATGAGGTCACTTGAAAGACGAAAAGACTAGTCAGTGATAAAACAATTAGTCGATCTTGCATTTTCAGGCTCCGTATTTCTTTGTAGCATAATGTTCTGATGAGCTAGTGTCTCCTGTTGAAGTCCTAAATGTAATAACATTTGGTACTAAATGTAATAAAGTGCTAAATGTAATAACGTTTGGTCCAAGATGTAATAAAGTCCTAAACGTAATGAAGTGCTAAATGTAATAACATTTGGTCCTAAATGTAATAAAGTCCTAAATGTAATAACATTTGGTCCTAAATGTAATAAAGTCCTAAATGTAATAACGTTTGGTCCAAGATGTAATAAAGTCCTAAATGTAATAAACCTCCAATGCAATCGTTTAACTGCACTAGTGCGCTGTTGTTAGAGCAGACATCCACATTGAGATGTTAAAGTGACAGCTGTTGCACTAAAATATCCTCTGACCAATATTCATAGCATACTGCGGACTCGCTGATATTTATCAGCGCCTTTTTATTTGCTAAAGACTTAGGTTGGGAAGCATTGGCTACAAAACCTTATACTGATGTGCTTTTGGCATCAAATTGGCACACGCAAAAACAATGAGAACGCTGACCAATAGCTCTCTTTATATCATCGACTCGGACTCTTTAGTGTAACACATTTTGACGATATACTCGTGTGATCAGTGCTGAGGTTAACACTTCATGAACCGAATTACGTGAGAAAGGACGTACACTGACCTATACGTCTGACAAGTTCCGGGCTCGGGAGTGCATTTTTTTGTACTTTCTTCCCTTGCCAGATTTGTATGTGTCTGCATGAAATATATTCATATGCTTATTGACCAGGCGTGAGGTCAAAATGGCTGGATATTGGCCTAGTTGGCTTTCTTGAACTCCCCTCCTCGGTCGCACAGGATTATTTCTGGCGATCCATGCTCCATATAAATAGATTCCGATTCACTTGTAATAACCTGGCTTAATTTGCTTTCCAAAGGACGAAGCCAAAGGAAACGGCTAAAAGCATCAATCACTGTTAGAACGTATCTGTAAAAATGTCCATTCGTCTTCACGGATCATTTTTTGCTCACATCCATCAAATCTATTGGGTGCCTAACATTAACGTCTGTGGCTCTGATAGGTTTCAGCTTCGCCCTATTAGGACACTTAGCATTTCGGCGATAATGACTTTTGTCCATGTTTAGAATAGTTTGTATTTTAGCTCGGCTTACTCTTAAAAAGTTGTTCCTCAGTGAGCAAGCTAACTTCCCTGCACCAGATCCTTTCGTCCTTTCAAATTCCTCAACCCCTACTTTGTTAACCTCTGATGATTTTAACAGTCGACGCCCCTCGTAATATAGTGCCTTATCACTATGGTCTTCTTTCACTGATATCCTTCCGCCGGCTCTCCAGTGTCGCACAGCAGCTGCACGCATTGCTTTCGTCCCTTCTTTCACTGGTGGTTGCGCCTTGCCTTCAACAAGGTCGAGCAGGGCTTCATAAATGTCGTCCACTAAAAAAGAAAACTGCCGGAATATTTCACAGGCGCGTGAAATGTTTATCAGTCGGATCCGCACTCAAGAATTTTTCCATACTCAATTCAACCAATCGATTCAACGTTGCTGGGCAAATCTTTTTGTTACTGCCAATTATTTTGAAACTGGAAAGTTATGCTCTTTACGTACATGTCATTCTCATAGTGCTGATTCAGTGAAAGAAAAGTCCGTTTCAGAGTCAGGTCATGCTGTTTTATCTAATGTCTGATCGTTAAGGATATCAGTGCGTCGACCAAACCTTGTTTCCTTTTTCGTTCTTTTTTTCTTTTTTTTTTTTAATTATTTAAATCAATTAGTATACCGTTAAAAAACGGCTCACACGATTAGTTTCACTCACATCTCAGAGAAAGCAAGGGCACAAATTTTTGCGTGAGTTTTTGAGGACCGGGACATCATTTACAGCCTTCAACATAAACGACCATTTTTAATGTTCATCATATCTCACTCGTGTGACTGTTTCCGGCCTTATATGAAACGTAATCGAGCAACAAGTAAGCGCTAAAAAGACCTGTTGCTTATTTCGAATTACAGTATGTAAGTCACTGAGTATATGATTCGATGCAGACACATGTAATACCTTATTCGTTTTTCGGATTTGTTACATGCATTTCAAGATAAAGAGAACATAATTGTCCCAGTTATGTTCTCTTGGGGAAAAAATGATTTGTCCATATTCATATACCCAGCCAGATATCGAGAATTTGAAAGTAATAACTCTCTAGAGTGCTGTCACGAGGTCCGATTTGGTAAACAAAAGGTACATGCTAACAAGGTCTATGCAGGCATGGAAAGACAAATAAATTGTACCCGAGCCTGCAAATTGTCCGGCCTTTTAGTCAGCGGACTCCTTTGTCCAAGTTTGTAATTTGGTTTATGACTTGTTAAGTCCATCACTGATCACACAAGTATAATGTTATCATATTTTTCCAAAATTTATTGTACTTAAGAGTCTGAGCCAGTGATATATGGAGAGGTTTTAGTCAGCGTACTCATTGTTTTGCCAGCTGTTATTTGATGCCATTTTTTCATCAGTATAACGTTTGCGGCCAATGCTTCTCGAATTAATTCTAGCAACTAAAAAGACGCTGATCGATATCGTGTGACATGTATATTGGTCAGCGGTTTTTCGGTGCAGAAGCTGTCACTTCAACATCTCAGTGTGGATGTCCGCCATAACAACAATGCATTGAAGGAGTTAAACGATTGCATTGGAGGCTTATTACATTTAGGACTAAATGTTATTACATTGGAGGGCGCAAGTCATTCATGTACGAAAATGTACGAATGACACTTGATTACATGAAAAACCAGCTTCACCTCACAATCAAAGGATAAAAAATAAACTTGAGAATAAGAAACAAAATTCCCCGTCAGAGCCAACCCCAAAATTTCGTAACAGCGACGTGTTTTGGTAAAACGGTCGTCATTATTTGACGCTCAAGTGTGGGCGAACGAGGATCGCGTGTAAACAGTTGGTAAAGAGTATTGATGGCTGCCTCCTACGTCGCACTCATACGGACATAATTAAGCCACAATAAAACAACACATGAAGGGCTTCTTCCTCTATTTTTATTCAAATTATGGGCCAATGACATGCATTAAGTATAATCACTGAGAACCTCATAATCAGACAAAGGAGGTGACTGCAACTGTCTCATTTCGCCCAATGTTTCTCTTAAGGAGGAAAAACTCACTATAGCTGTTCGCTGGAATCATAACGGGCATTTTTTCTGAGGACATGCTGTCTGTGTTCTCCTGTTTCGTTCTCACCGTTTTAGCTTCCCTAATACCAGAAGGACAAGGTAAGATTTTGCTATACTCCGTTCACACCAATGCTTAAATATATTTTAAAACTGTTTAGTTAAACGTAGTTGGAAATGGTCTTCTTAGCAGCTGCTTAAACCGATGTTTTTCAACTTCAAATTTTGCAGAATGAAAATAAGATTGGTGTTTACTTCAAATCAAATCAAAATTCAAATCTCTGTTTTAATTTAACTCGGTTGATATGGTGAATGGGGTATTAGTAGTTGACTAAGAACTATTTCAATGTTTTCTTAATCATCATATAACTTTTTCATTATCTTTATCTACATAACTAAGCCTTGAAATATTCACATAAGCATCTCCTATTGGTACTTACAACAATGATTATTTTTTTCTTTTACATACCTGGAGTGGCATAAGACAACCAAATATTTTAAAGGAGGTTTTTATTTTATTTTGCAGCATATTTTGAAAATGAAAAAATTGAAAAAAGTAAAGTTCATAGAACATGGTTTTTGGGCTGAGCCAAAAGGGAAGGTTTACTTTGAATAAACCGCCAGTCATTGTCTCAACAATGATCATTCCGCGAACCGCGTTTAAGTTTGGACATTTTGATCCTACACGATGGATAAAATGACTACTGGCAGATCTTTTTGGCTGTTTGGCTTCAAAGTTGATGTAAAGGCTGTTTCCATTTTTCATAAAACGTCAATCGAGGGGTTCATGTACTTCAGGGAGCTAGCAGAAGAAAGGAGTAAGTTACTATCGATCCACCGCAGAAAGAAAGTTTAAAATTAACCTGCGAAACAATTTCACTTCACCCGACCAAAGCAGGTGATTTTGACAGAAAAATCTGCTAAATAAACTTTACGCAGTCTTGCGTGATCGTTACGGAGACTGATGGCAATGATCGAGTCATTTAGCTCCTTAGGGTATTTTAGGTTCAAAAATATACTTTCAGCCTTTATAGTGCACGATCCAGCGCGAGTGTGCGATCATGAAGATTCCCTACTTGGAAATTCTCCACATTTATTTAAATGATCTCACCACCACCGTTTTTCTCTTTTGACTGATCGAATTTATTAAAGAGCGGAAACTTGAAGAGGCACCTAAAGGAAATTTGTTTGCAACTAGTCAGAAGCTTTTTGAAATGGTAAAATAACTAAAAACAAGCGGGGCAGTATTTTCTTTCATAACATTACCAGAAATTCGAGTAATAGATCATGTTTCAAGCCGAACGGCATTTATAATTAAATGTTGCAGAGCACTGTACGGCGTTAAGAAAAATTCTTAAATACCTAAGCTTTCCGCGAAGATAATCATCTTTCCAAGTTCTTAGAAGTTAGAAAACAATCCTTAAAACGGTTTTAGCTTTAAGATTTTCGAAATTAAAATTTCGGACAAATTTTCGTAGCCAAAAAACCATTCAAAACAGTTATTGACTTCTTGTTTATCCAAGCAAATTAGTAAGTGTGGTGTCCCCCAAGGCTCTATTGTTAGTCCTTTATTGTTTATATTATATATATATGATCTTCCCCATGCATCTAAATTAACAAAGCCTCTGCTTCTTGCTGATGACACCAGTATCTTCTATTCTCAACCAGATCCCGATTATTTAGAGTCCGTTCTCAATGATGAACTGTACAATCTTGACATTTGGATGAAATGCAATAAGCTTTCGGTAAATAGCAAGAAAACAAGTTACAATATTTTAAAATATTTTTCCCTATCCTTTGGGAAGCAGACAATGAAACAGTACCAACCAACTTAAATATAATTTCTTATTTACAAAAACGTGTTGTGCGAGCTATTACCAACTCAGACTATCGAGAACACACTGCCCCCATATTTGCAAAATTGGGCGTCAATTGCTATCGACCACATAACTGTCGTACTAATCATAAACGATTTACAATACTCTACCAAGGTCCTAAAATTTGGAATTCTCTTCCAATATCGATCACTGGTTTGACTAGCTTTTTGAAATTGATTTTTTAAAGAAATGAATCCGAATTGGCCAAGCCGCACATCTACAACTTCATTACAAACATATTTACAACCGAGGTGGCCTCTCCTATAAGTTTGGTGGTTTCTTGGAGGTCTACTCGCCCCACCATACTGTAAAACCAGTTTAATTATTATAACTTAAGTGGCTAATAAAGCCAGAATAGAAAAACGCACCAAGGACATCTTCCCTAAAATTAAAATTGAAGGCTTTTAATACGCATTATGTATAATCGCCAACCAGCGACATCCTAGGGAAATGTAAGTGTAGTGTTACTCCCAAAAACGGGCTTTTCGAGCCAAATTGGGTGGCTGCGAGGGGGTGCGCAATCCTGTTTGATCAGAACGGAGATTATTGAAAATTTATTCGGTTCTAAGTCTATTTTTTTAAGTGCGAGAAGAAAAATAGTGAAGACAATCCGTCCTGCAAACTAAGGTCGAAATTTTTTAAACAGTGACCTCAGTACGTTTTATTGATCCCAATGCGGTTAGAATACGTGATTAAATGCAAGTTTTTTACAGGGAAATGACACGTGATGGAGCGAAGTCTAATTTGACAAAATGGAATTTGAATGCTGGAACACAATTCAAGCACGTGAAAAATTGTCTTATGTTCATGTAGTCAGTAATGATTGGATGTGTTCTGATTGGACTTTGGACGTTGTTTTCATCATGAGAGTACCAGTACCAGTGGTACGTAATGGAATGTAAGTTTTTTGGCGTGTGTGTTGTGAGTAAAGGAGCGGAAAAAACATGTTTTACCTTAAAAATGATACAAATGATGCGAACCTTTCATATCCCAATAAATCTCGACCTTAATGGACGAGGCTCTCGCGAAGGTCACAACCATAATACTTATCAAATAAGCACAAAATTTCTGGTCAACGTCATTCTTTGTGCACGGCCCCTGATTACATCACATTATTTACAAGAAATCAGTACCGAAACGCTGTGATTGGTGCAAGGTATCCAAATGCTGTGATATGATTGGTGCGAGATACATACCCCAATGCGGCAATCTGATTGGTACGAGATACATACCCAAATGTGACGATCTGATTGGTGCGAGCAACAAACCACTCTCCAGGCTAACATAGAGTTATTTTCTTTAATAAAACATAGACATGCTATGCATGCAAGAGTTATTTTTTGGGGTTGGGTGGATTACTTGAAACATTGTGAGTGATGTCTACATTCTTACAAAAGGAAAGAAGAGTATTAACGCGGAAAAGAACGAAAATGTCAAATTATCTTACACACAGGTATTTTGTGGTAGATTGTGTGTTGTGCGAATAACTGTAACCAAAAATAGACTGTATTGGTGCCACGGATACCTGTTAGTACAAAATACAGACTACAGAGTGGGTACAAAATGCAGACTGAGAATCTAAAGGGTTTTCTCGTCTGGTATGTGATAACATGTCATCTTACAACTTACCGGGCGTCACGCAATCGCTTTTCTACGATCAGCTTTCACGATTATTTGCACTATTTTGGAATATTCCTGGCCCATTTCTTGATGAAAATCGATTGTAATATAATTTCAAGCCTTCGCATAGTCTTCTCAATTTGCGCACGAGTTGGTTGGTATAATGTCTGTACAGATTTTACCAACGTACTAAAAGTAGATGTAGATGTAGATGTAACGAGATGTCACTATTGAATAGTTAGCACGCGCAGCATTCGAGAAACAATTGGCAGCTTTGCACGTGGTCCTTAATATCATCTTTTTAAGCGGTATGTGTTTATTTTGTTGAAAAAATGCGGACTGAGACCAAAACTGTTCCTTCGACTTGATATATTTTCGATGTTAGTAGATCACATCATATTAACTTACCTCCGCAAATCATTCATTCCAGATAACAAAATCAAATAAATATGCTAACGATGATATGAATTCGTCCTCGGCCAAACACAAACGACTCCACAAGGTCACTTTCTCCAGACATCGAAAAAATACACAAAACTGTCCATAGTTAATTTTAATCAGACATTCATCTAGAGATGGCTCCGAGCAAACCAATCCAGAAAAATATAATCGGCACACTCAACAAATCATGAATTTTGCAACACAGATTGCCGTTAAAGAACTGCTCAAATCAAAACGTTTCGTGCAATTCATCAACACCTCAAGCAATATTTGATTCAAAATTTTTCCACTTACTCTCCTCGTGAAGAAACAATAACCATGATCGTGCTACAGTACACAGAACTCCATTTTACCTCGACTAACTATTCACCATTTTCACATCTTGAGCTTGAATAACACGTTTACCGTAGGTAATCTTATATCTTTCATCTGTCCAGTAGTATCGCATTTCTCATAAAGTGCGGTAAAATACACGTTAAAAACACAGAAAAGGCGATATTTCTCATTTTAATCGATGATTCCATTTTACGAACCGCTCTCTCCGAATCCCCCATTACATCGTTGAAATTTGAACACCCCTCAAACCAAAGAACAAAAACGACGCTCTGATTGGTGCGAGATACATACCACTCTCTGTACGCTAACACGGATGTTATTTTTCTAAATAAAAAGAAAATGACTAAAAAACTCAAAAATGAATCTTTGATAATATTTCTCGAATACTAGTCCACCAGATTTTGGCATCGATAGATCGATCAAAATAGCTGAGATCATAAAGAGGGAGATAAAAACTGCATTGATTAGTCGGAAGATACGTTATAAACAATCGACTGGTGTTAATAAAGTAATTGCAAAGCCAAAAGCCAAAGCAATAATTTAGAAGAAATAGTGCTCCACAGTTCGAGTTTAAGAGAGTTTCTCAATATTGCACAGCAACTTTCCAAATGTTTTATAATTGTTTTCCAGGTAGCTGCCGCAGTTTATTGTTTGCCACTTTTCCTAAACCTGGCTTCCGGTTGGAGAATCACACGATTCGAACTATCGACGTTATCAACGAGGATCTCTGCATGTTCCAGTGCTACCTGGAACCTAACTGTGTTAGTTATAACTTCCATAAGATAAGTCAGGAATCTGGAAAACACAAGTGTGAGCTGAATAACGCGACTATTGAACATGATGAGGGCCTGCTGAAAAACGAAAGTTACATTTACCGCGGAGCAGAGGTGAGGATGAATTCTATGAGGGAAAAGTAATACTCTTTGTCCGGGAAAGCTCTGATGTGAAATCAAGGGATATCCTGGCCTCTCCTACTAATTTAAATAACCCTCTTGCAACGGGAATAACTGTAACGCGAACATCCACGTATATCACCAACAACCTTGCGTGAAAAGAGTGCAACAAAAGCGCTCGCGAAAAACAAATCAAGAGTACACTCGAGGACCACGAAGGTGGATGGGTGGAATCAACAAACATCATAAACCTAGCCCAAAAAATGGAACTGCATGGGTGAGACATACGCACACCATTGTAATTGCGGACGATAAACACACTAGAAAGGACTTGTTAGCCTGCCAAAATATCATTATAAGTTTCTCTATTCCTTTCCTTCCTAAGAATGCTTGTAAGAAAAATCCTTGCAAGAATAACGCAACATGCCAAGCTGGATTTACAGACAGAGACTATCAGTGTTTGTGTGTTGATGGATCTGGATTTAAAGGCCATGATTGTGATGAGGGTAAGGAATCGTATACTTTCATTAGCATAGCTAATGACATGATTTCGAGTGCAGTTTGGGATAAATCAGCCCGAGTAAATTTTTCAAAGGCTAACCAAATTGCACGAGCCCGTACGCCCGTAGTCTTCTGCGTCTTTCGCACGAAATGTTGCGCTAGTTTAACTCCTCGCTATTCAGGGCGATCGCTGTAAAATTTCATAGCCGTTTCTGGAAGCCAGCCTTTTAACCAGTTGTTTGTTGGATGTTTTTATTCTCCCTAAAACTCTGAATTAAAACAATGTTGCTTTCTCCTCACCTGTCAGCCATTTGGTTTTCTTCTACACAGTTTGGGATTAATTGACGTGTTCTCGGCCAATGAGCATGCTGAAATTCTTGCATGTGTTTTATTGAAGAAACATGATGCACCGATAAGTAACAAGTTTCGTTCGCTCCTCCTTTAAACTTGATTTCTTTTAGGTGATTGGGCAGACTTATTTGAAAGGGATAAGCACCATCAATCGCTAACATCTCAATAGTTTGATAGTCACAGAACATCACAGCAGATAGCCTTGGCTTTGAAGTTTGCAAAAAGAATGATCTAGGATAGCACAAGCTATTCAAAATACAAAAGACGATTGATATAAAAATTGTGTTGCTGGTCATGGTTCATTTCAGAACCTGGCTCATCGCTTTTTTTTTTGTTTTTTTTTGCATTGTTTTTACCTCATTAAGTCTCAATTTTTTCAATCGCGTCTAAAGTTAAAAACAGAAAAACAGAGGTTTCCGGCTAGCGACATCAATCGACTTCGAGGGACGCCCTTTCGTTTCTTCTTTAACTTTTAGGATTTTTTTCAAAGCCTGGCCTGCATACTTTGCTATCTTCTCCTGAGTATTCTTCATCTTACGTCTGTCGCTGAAGTTTTCTCAAATTGCATTTCAGCTGATAGTCAAATTGTATTAATTTTCACTCGGTCAACATTACCGCTACGGTTCCTCGCTTCTCTCATCCTCCCAACACCTAAAAAAGCGCCCAGTGGCCTGAAATTGTGCTTTGCATTTGGTGCATTTCCACCTCTGACATTTTGGATTTCATTGGGTCGTAACTGACTGAGTCAATAACGTAACTGAATAAAATGGAAACCTTGGTATTCTGGCGGTCACAGGAGGTGTTTGAGCCGTACTTTAACTTTTCGATCCACTAATGAAATCAGCTTTTAGTGGCATATTCGGACATTTAGTCCAAATAGTTTTTAAAGAATGGCTGTTTATCAACGTTCTTTACAACCGCGGCGCTAAGTAAAAACAGTATTAGCAAAGCCAAAAGTACTTGTAACAATTTCTTACTAGTATCATAACTTTGATTTTTATTGCTTGTGTTTACGAAGGATTTACAGCTGTTTTTACAAATCTTGGTAAGGGTGGAACAGAGGGTCCAAACTCAGTTGGCAGTCACTACACAGGTCAGGATCATGACGGACAAGTTACAGTGTCCAGCGGTATTCAACTGTGGATTGTGCCACACACTGGTGAATACAGAATAGAAACAATAGGAGCCTCAGGGGGGTACGGAGAAGACAGTGTCATCAACGGAGGGAGAGGGGCGCGGATGATTGGAAACTTTATGTTGACCAAAGATGAGATCATTCGTATACTTGTTGGTCAAAAAGGGGAAAGATCAAATTCTTACAAAAATGCTGCCTCAGGCGGAGGAGGCACATTTGTAGTAAGAGAAGACAACAAGCCTTTGATCATAGCCGGAGGTGGAGGAGGAGTTGCTAAAATGACAGAACAACATTCAGGATGTGATGCGTCCATAAACACAACAGGAAATGCAGGGTATAACTCGTCATTCCTGTCAGGAGGAAGTAACGGAAATGGAGGAAAAACTGATAAATCGCACCCTGGTAGGTGAAGAATTTCCTATTTATAACTGCTGAATATTCTTTACATCCATCAGTATTTCGAACAAAGAGGTGTTACTGGTCGCTCAAATTTGGATTTTTCTCAGAATTACTAAAGGCAATGATCTTTTCAGTAGCTAATGTCAACTGTAAATCTCTTGATTGTAGGCGGAGGTGGCGGCGGCTTTTACAGTAATAGAGAAGACACAAAGATTCCTTTTGGAGACGGTGGAAGGGGAGGTAAAGGATTTCTGGCCGGGGGAGAGGGCGGAGCACATCAGGGTGGTTTTGGAGGTGGGGGTGGTTCTCGTTTTAAAGGTGAGATACCTGGAGGCGGTGGGGGGTACTCTGGGGGAAGTGGAGGTGCGAATAAAGATATTTCTTGTGGGGGAGGGGGAGGTTCTTTCAACAACGGAACAAATCAGCAAAATGAATGTTGTTATAATACTGCTGGACATGGTAAGGTGATCATTACATTTCTTCATTGAAATGCATGGCAGCACTTTCCCTAGCGTGTGGTGGTAATTCTGTTTTGAAGCGCTAATTGATATTGGTTTTCAAACTCAATTGCTTTTAATTTTTTTAGGTCATTATTTAGATTTTATTATTAAGCCGTGTTACTGTAAACAAACAGCGCAACATGTGGTTCTAGAGCCGTTTATATTTGAGGTTAGAATTAAAATTCACAAACAACATTTGCAAGAATAAGTGAGTTTGTGAATTTTTACCGGCCTAACCTTCTCCCCCGGGGGGGAGGGATGGAGTACGGGAGGGGGAAGGGACGGGGGGAAGGGATGGGGAGATGATGCATGAATATTTAGGTGGTAGAAAACAGTGAACAACAGATTCTCCTACCTCTTTATTCAATCAGATTCCTACGCGTTAAAAGCATACAATATTAAGGTGAGGCAAGATAATAGTTTGTAATATCCAGGGTGAGGACAATGTTAGCTACAAATTACTTTGGCCTATAGAATAAAGAAGATACAAATGCCAAGACTGTTTAGACTTTAAATAGCGGGCATGGTGGGAAGTTAGTGATAATTGGTCAAATAATAACATATGGGTAATAAAGACTAAGTAATAATTTTGTAGAGAAACAGTTGTGAAGTCAGCTCTTCAAATTCTTGTGCATTAAATGTCAATTAATACATATTCACCAATCTTTTTTTCTCGATCAGCTCAAAACTAAAATTGATTTTCAATAATGATACAGTCAGTGTGACCCAGCTTCTTTAATTTTTTTGCCCGTTCACTTTCTAAATGTTGCTGCGCATGACACTGACTGTTGGCGATGGCACATTCAAGTTAACGCAAAACCTTATTTACTTGTTAGATTTTGTTTTTCTGCTAACATCTGGAATGTCTTTTCAGGAGGCTCTCGTGCTCTTCGTCACTTAAAGTGGAGTAAAGCGCTGTAATTTTCACGTAGTTGGAAAGAATGATTCTGCTTAATAATAGTTGGAAATATATTGAGAACATTCTTTGCTGGTGGATTGACTAACAGTTGCCAAGAATTGTCTCTATGAATTACAGAAAAGAGCAATCACTTTCCCTATATTGTCGATCTATAATGTAGATTTAGTAACCTCTAGTAAAATTTAATAAATTGAAATCTGGCTGTCAGTATTTTCATGTTTGTTAGTTAAACCTAAATTATAAAGTCACATCAACAGACAGCAAGGTAAATTTGTGAAAGAATGAAAAAAGTAACTATGTATCTTACAGGAAAGTTCGTGGATCCCCCAACTTTACTCATAACTTTTATTCGTCCTTGATGTTTTTTTTCGCAGCAAACGAAAACCAGCCTTGACTGAAGGTCTTTGCAGGGTAATCGAAAATTGTATGATGCATGGATATTTAGGTGATGGAAAACAGTCAACAGCAAATTATTTTCTATGACAGCCTTGTATAGCAGGAGATTCCTGACGACGGCTATAAAAAGCGTTGCGAATTGTTTGAGGCCTTCCAACGCAGTTTCTGATTAGACTTCTGATTAATCAATCGGAAGATAGTAACTAAATAATTCACGCACACTTTTCACAAGACATTCGTCACTCATTACATGTGTCTCCTTTACTGAACTTAACTTCAGCGGAATACAACGAAGGTACAATTAAGTACAAAGTCAAATTCGCTGAATTGGTTGTGAGTTGCTATATAAAAACTCAACCTTGTAGATACGGCTAATCATTTACTTGCACAAAATGAAAACAATTGAATCGAGACAGTTGCTGCATGGTGAAAATTTCTATGCAGCAGAAATGATGAATACTTTGCTATGAAAATTTCACATGTAGTCAAATATGACGTGAAGTGAGGCCTGGACGGGGCCCTTAATCCAATAAAATCAAAATTCAATTCCTGATAACGCATAACTCTTCAGATAAATAAAGGGTAAGTTTCCAAAGAAACTGGTGTTGTGTCGGTTGGAGATTACAACAGGGTAGTTTGGTATTAACAAGTGAGTTGATAAGGTGAATTGGCCACCGTAAAAAGTTTAAAAGTTGACGTCTTGAGCGTTAGCCCTTCGTCAGAGCGAATGGAGGAATTGTGGGTTGTGACTGTTTTTATATGAAGAAAATTGAGCTACGCTATTGGTGGGAATATGGTGACGAGAAAACAAAAATAAATTAGTTGAACGAAAGGCGCTCGTTGATGCCGAGGGGATTTAGAGTTTTGCGGCTTTCCGAACTGCCTAAATGTACGGAAAGGCCGCATACTGTCATATGGTGCTCAGAATGATTAGGGAGATTTAACTAAATTACTTTTTCAAATATATTGAAATGAATGCGATTTATTTCGACGTTTGAAGCTTAGTTTTTAAAAAATCAGCAATAGCAAAACCTATTTTAATCAGCGCTTGTATTGATCGTTTCCACGCGGTTTTCCTATTCCGGTTACAGGCCCCCTCGGACATAAGCCCCTCCGTTTCTAAGCCCTTCTAAAACCCCTTAAGATGTTTTACAGCCCCAGGGTTTATAACCAGCAGTTCACGGTAGAAGGCAATTAACTTCCTGATTTATTCAGACAGAACGCCATTAATATCCGTTCAGTATAATCAAGTTTCACCAACCAACAAGGTCCCAGAGGAACTAATTCAGCCGTGACAACTACTTACAACCACATAAATAAACAAAGAAGGCGCCCAATTTGAACGCAGATTAAAATTCAGCTCTCTTAGTTGCCTGATTTTGTCCTTAAAAGTGTAAAAGTCACAGAAGCTATTCGCTGGGATTATAACAGCTGCTTTTTTTTCATTTGTTTTCCCTAATACCAGAAGGACGAGGTGAGATTTACCTACAGTTCTATCCTAGTTATGTCTGAGTAATATTTCAAAGTTTACCAAGGCGATATATTACTTTTTGATTATCTTTATTGAGATAACTGAGCCTTGAAATATTCGCACAAGTTTCTCGGCTTCCACTGGAATTGAATATAATATATCATTTCTTTTAAATACATACCTGGACTGGTATGGTATTGGTATTGCTGGTATTATTATTACTGGTAATTGGTATTGTTGGTATATTATTACTGGTATTTCAAGCCGAACAGCTTTTATAATTAAATGTTGCAGAGTACTGTACGGCGTTAAAAAAATTCTTAAATATTTAAGCTTTGCGCGAAGATAATCATCTTCCCATGCTCTGAGAAGTTAGAAAACAATCATTAAAACGGTTTAAGTTTTGAGATTTTCGAAATTTAAATTTCGGACAAATTTACTTAAATACAAAAAAACCCTGAAAACAGACTCATTGACTTATTGTTTATCCAAGCAAATTAGTACGTGTGGTGTCCCCCAAGGCTCTTTTTCAGGTTCTTTGTTATGTAAATTATATATGAACTTCCTTATGCATCTAAATTAACACAGCCTCTACTTTTTGATGATGACACCAGTATCTTTTATTCTCACTCAGATCCCGATTATTTAGAGTCCGTTCTCAATGATGAAGTGTGAAATCTTGACATTTGGATGAAATGCAATAAGCTTTCAGTAAATTTTAAGAAAATGATTACATTATTTTTAAATCGAGGCAGAAGAAACTTGGCAAATCTTTTTCCCTGTCCTTTGGAAATCAGACATTGAAACAAGTAAATGAAACAAAATTCTTAGGTGTTTATATTGATTGATACATTTAACAAGGAAACTTCACATTAGCTTCGTGGCTAAACAAATCCCTAGTCAGCCGGTATAATATATAAGGCTAGATACTATTTGTCATCCAATACTAAACTTACTCTGTACTATACGTTAATTTACCCATATATCACTTACCTTATTCAACCTGGTTGTCCACGTATGTGACCAACTTAAATAGAATTTTTTTTATTTACAAAAACGTGTTGTGCGAGCTATTACCAACTCAGACTATCGAGAACACACTGCCTCCATGTTTGCTAAATTGGGCATCTTAGTTATTTTCTAAGTCAACGCATTGCAAATAGCAAATTCATGTTTTATTATGACAGGCCTTTGTATCTTTACGACGAGAAAAAATAACTTTTCGTGGAAAAGTGTCTCAAAGCCTATCTTATGCATTAAAACTTGGCGTTCGGTGAAATTTGGCTTCAGATAGAGGTAGTGCTGAGGTTGATTGAAATTTTCCAAACCTAAATCGAGGACTTCGTGTATTGCAGGTAGCCTTTACAGAAAGGAAGTTCTGACTTAGCTTGCGACGATCTGATTGGTGCGAGCAACAAACCACTCTCCAAGCTAACATAGAGTTATTTTCATTTAATAGAGAAAAATCATAAATGAATCTTTAATAATATTTTTCGAATACTAGTCCACCGGACTTTGGCATCGATAGTTTGATCAAAATAGCTGAGATCATCAAGAGGGAGATAAAAACTGCATCGATCAGTCGGAATAGACATTATAAGCAATCGACTGGTGTTAATAAAATAATCGCAAAGCCAAAAGCCAAAGCAATAATTTAGAAGAAAAAGTGCTTTACAGTTCGAGTTTAAGAGTGGTTCTCAATACTGCATAGCAACTTTCCAACTTTTCAAAATTGTTTTGCAGGTAACTGCCGCAGTTTATTGTTTGTTACTTTTCCTAAACCTGGCTCCCGGTTGGTGAATCACACGGTTCGAACTATCGACGTTATCAACGAGGATCTCTGCATGTTCCAGTACTACCTGGAACCTAGCTGTGTCAGTTATAACTTCCATAAGATAAGTCAGGAGTCTGGAAAACATAAGTGTGATCTGAATAACGCGACTGTTGAACATGATGAAGACCTAGTTTACAGACAGAGACTATCAGTGTTTGTGTGTTGATGGATCTGGATTTAAAGGCCATGATTGTGATGAACGGTAAGGAATCGTATACTTTCATCAGTAGAGCTAATCACATGACTTCGAGTGCAATTTGGGATAAATCAGCCCGAAAAAAATTTTCGAAGGTTAACCAAATTGCACGAGCCCGTACGCTCGTATTCTTTCGTGTCTTTCGCACGAACTGTTGCGCTGGTTTAACTCCTCGATGTTAGTCATGGGCGATCGCTGTAAACTTTCATAGTCGTTTTTGGAAGCCAGAGTTTTAACCAGTTGTTTGTTGGATGTTTTAATTTCGGCATTCTCATTAAAACTCTGAATTAAAACTTTGTTGCTTTCTACTTACCTGTCAGCCATTTTATTTCGTTGTGCTTACACGACTTACCTGTCAATCAGTTTGATTTTAACTTTCTGCACTGTTTGGGATAAATTGACGTGCTCTCGGCCAATGCGCATGCTGAAATTCTTGCGTGTGTTTTATTAAAGAAACATGGTGTACTGATAAGTAACAAGTTTCGCACGCTCCTCCCCTAAACTTTATTTCTTTTAGGTGATTGGGCATACTTATTTGAAAGGGATAAGCACCATACAATCGCTAGCATTTCAATAGTATGAAAGTCTCAGAACATCACAGCAGATAGCCTTGGCTTTGAAGTTGCGAGAAGAATGATCTAGGATAGCACAAGTTATTCAAAATACTAAAGACGATTTATATGAATAATTGCGTTGCTGCTCATGGTTCATTTCAGAAACTGGTTCATGGTTTTTTTTTTTTGCATTGCTTTTACTCCATTAAGTCTCAATTTTTTCAATCGCGTCGCAAGTTTGAAACAGAAAAACAACGGTTTCCGGTTAACGACTTCAATCGACTTCGAGGGTTGCCCTTTCGTTTCTTGTTTTGCATTCAGGATTATTTAAAAGCCTGGCTTGCCTACTTTGCTACCTTCTCTCAAGAATGCTCTATCTTAGGTATGCCGCTGAGGTTTTCTCAAATTGCATTTCGTCCAATAGTCACACTGTATCAATTTTCACTCGGTCAACATTACCGCTACGGTTCTTCACTTCTCTCATCCTCTCAACACCTTAAAAAGCGCCCGGTGGCCTGGAATTGTGCTTTGCGTTTGGTGCATTTCCACCTCTGACTCTGACATTTTGGATTTCAGCTGGTCGTAAGTGACTGAGTCAATAACGTAACCTGAAGGGAATGGAAACCTTGGTATTCTTGCGGTCACAGGAGACGTTTGAGCCGTACTTTAACTTTTCTATCGTCTAATGAAACCAGCTTTTGGTAGCATATTCGGACACTTTGGTCCAAATAGTTTATTAGAGAATGGCTGTGTACTAGCGTTCTTCCTAACCGCGGCCCTGAGTAAAAGCAGTATTGGCAAAGCCAAAAGTAATTATAACAATTTTTACTGGTATCATAACTTTTATTTTTACTTAATGTGTTTTACGAAGGCTTTACAGCTGTCTTTACAAACCTTGGTAAGAGTGGAACAAAGGGTCCAGACTCAGTTGGCAGTCACTACACCTAATAAAAATTCTACCAAAGGAACTGCTTCAGGCGGAGGAGGTACATTTGTAGTAAGAGACAACAAACCTTTAATCATAGCCGGAGGTGGAGGAGGAATTGCAAAAATGACAGAACAACATTCGGGATGTGATGCGTCCATAAATACATCAGAGAATGCAGGGTATAACTCCCCATTCCTGTCAGGAGGAATGGACGGAGATGGAGAACAAACTGATACTGATAAAGGTGAAGAATTTCTTTTTTATAAATACTGAATTTTTTTTTTTGCATTATATTTGCCACCCATCAGCATTTCGAACAAAGGGGTGCTACTGGTCGCTTAAATTTGGATATTTTTCAGAATCACTTAAAGCCATGATCTTTTCAGTAGCTAATTTCAACTGTAAATCTCTTGATTGTAGGTGGTGGTGGTGGTGGCGGCGGCTTTTACAGTAATGGAGAAGACTCAGGGGGTTCTGGTGGAGGGGGAAAGTGAGGTAAAGGATTTCTAGCCGGGGGAGAGGGGGGAAGACATATGGATGGGTTCGGAGGTGGGGGTGGTTATCGTGCAGCTAAAGAGTCACCTGGGGGAGGTGGAGGGTACTCTGGGGGAAGTGGAGGTGCGAATAAAGATATTTCCTATGGAGGAGGGGAAGGTTCTTTCAACAACGGAACAAATCAGCAAAATGAATGTTGTTATAATACTGCTGGACATGGTAAAGTGATCATTACATTTCTTCATTGGATTGCATGGCAGCACTTTTCTTAGCTTGTAGTGGTAATTCTGTTTTGAAGCGCTAATTGATATTTGTTTTGAAACTCAATTACTCTTAATTTTTTTGGGTCATTATTTAGATTTTGTTATTATGCCGTGTTCATTGATGGAGCTCAATCTGATTTCTGTAATATAACATGTGGTATTCCACAGGGGTCTAATTTAGGCCCTCTCTTATTCACTATTTATATTAATGATCTCCCTTCATGTGATTTGTTTTCAAAACCCAGATTGTATGCAGATGATACTACCTTTACCACATCTGCAGAAGACCCATGGGTCCTTGAATATAAAATGAATTATGATATGAATTTAATCCAGTCATGGCTGTCAGCAAACAAATTAACTTTAAATGTGAAGAAGACTAAATACATGCTTATAGGGAGCCAATTTAAGTTATCCCAAATAAATAGTGACTTCATAATCAAAGTCAATAACACTCCCTTAGAAAGAATAATTGAACATAAAACCCTTGGAGTTCAAATTGATTAATCTTTAAGCTGGCGCCCACACATTCATACCATTTTCAAAGAAAATATCCGCTGGTATTGCTATCTTGAGGCGTGTAAGTAATTTTATACCACTTGATACTAGAGTGAACATGTATAATGCACTGGTGATGCCATATTTTAATTACTGTAGTGCCGTATGGGGTAATATCAATAAGGGACTAGCAGACAATCTTCAAAAGCTGCAGAATAGGGCTGCTAGAATTCTCACCTTTTCTAACTATGACGTTCGCTCAAGTGTTTTGTTGGATGAGCTTGGCTTGGAAAGGCTAGAACATGTAAGACTTAAACAGTTGGCTGTGACAATGTATAAAATACATAATAATCTTTCCCCATCGTATCTGAGGCGGATCTTTACCAACACCTCAAATGTACACTCACACAATCTTAGAAATTCTGAGCTAAATTATTATGTCCCCAGACCCAGAACTGAGTCTGCAAAAGGGAACCTACACTACAGAGGATCTGTTCTGTGGAATAGGATTCCTTCTGAGATTAAAAAACTGCCTAGTTTGAATGTTTTTAAAACTTCGTTTCATGGGAAAGATTTCTCTGATACACCATTGTAACTCTTATTATTCATGATATAAGTTTTTGTATTTTTAACATTATAGTAAATAGCTCCTTGTTACTCATGATATAAGTTTTCGTTATTGTTTTTGTATGTTTAACATTATAGTCAATAGTTCTTAAAATATTTTAGTATAACTTAAACACGATTCCTAGGAAGACCATGTAAAATGATATGATTTCGTGTATAAATAAAGATTGATGATGATGATGATGTTACTGTAAACAAACAGCGCAACTTGTGGTTCTAGAGGCGTTTATATTTGAGGTTAGAACTAAAATTTACAGACAACATTTGCTAGAATGCGTGAGCTTATGAATTTTTACTGACCTTACCTTCTTCCCCGGGGGAATGGGGGGGCCGACCCGGCTTCTTTAATTTTTTTGCCCGTTGACCTTCGATATTTTGCTGCGCATGACACTAACTATAGATGATGGTGCATTCAAGTTAACGCAAAACCTTGTTTACTTGTTATATTTTTGTTTTTCTGCTAACATCTGGAATATCTTTTCAGGAGGCTCTCGTGCTCTTTCACTAAAAGTGGAGTAAAGCGCTGTAATTTTTACCTAGTTGGAAAGAACGTTTCTGCTTAACAACAGTTAGAAATAGATTGAGAACAATCTTGCTGGTGGATTGACTAAAAGCTCCCAAGAATTGTTTCTATGAGTTACAAAATAGAGCAATCACTGTCCCTATATTGTCGGTCTATAGTGTCGACTTAGTAAATTCTGGTGAAACTCAATAAATTGATATCTGGCTTTAAGTATTTTCTTGATGTTTGTTAGTTAAACCTAAATTATAAAGTCACATCAACTGAGAGCAAGGTAAATTTGTGAAAAATATTCACGTATCTTACAAGAAAATTCCTGGATCCCCCAACTTTACCTATTCGATTCCTTTTCAATTTGACTTCAATCTGCAAGGAAACTCAAGGCGCCTCTGGTACTCCAAAAACATTGGCGGTACCTGGACGCTCAATGTCTTACTTACAAGTAAATCCAGCCTCAATTAGACTCAAAACTTCAAAATGAAGGCAGAAGAAGCCGTTCAGCGCGCGTCATGGAATAGAGCGTAATTTTTTTTATCTCATATAGAGCGATTGAGTGTAATCAGTGTGTGTAAGCTTTGTGATCCAGTTAGGTGTTAAGTGTAGAGGGACGGAATAGGAACAGAGCCAGCTTTATGATCATGTGTGAGGTGACTGAGTGGAAACATTAAAATTTGCATCATTAAATTGAAATTAAAATCTTTAAATTGAAACAAATGAAAATTTGTATCGTTTAAGATAAAAATTAATTTTGTATCCTTAACTCAGTGCTACATCACTCGCACCCACGTTACCGATAATCAGCAATGTTCGCGCTAGTTCAGCTCATCCAGAAGACAAATACATTATTTTTAGCTATAATTTTTGCTAAGTCGGTGCCTCATGAACTACTGACATAACAAGAAGTCGTTTGATGTTCAGACATGTAACCTCTTATTTGCTTGCACAATTTGAGTACAGCCGAAACGAGTCAGTTGTTATGGAGAAAATTTCCAGCAGAAGGGAAGGGATAAGTGTTTCGCAAGTAAATATTTACATTTGCATCGAAAAGTCTGAAAGAAGACGTGAAGTAAAGCCTGGACGTGGCTTTTCATCCAACAAAATTGATATCCAGTTTCTTTTCGGAGAGTTTAAATTTGTTTGACAGGTTCTTTAGTCTGTTCATACCAAGTGTTAGCTTGTGAATCACCTTCCACCCTCTCCCCCCTCCCTTCACTCTAGTTATTCAAATTATAGGCCATTGACATTGATCTTGAGTTTCACCAACCAATTAGTTCCCAGGGAAACTAATTCAGTTGTGACGACCACTGAGAACCTCATAATCAGACATAGGAGGTCACGTATTTTAACAAATATTAAACTGCAGCTGTCTCATTTCGCCCAATGTTTCTCTTGAGGAGGAAAAACTTACTGTAGCTGTTCGCTGCAATTATAACGGGCGTTCTTTCTGAGGACATGCAGTCTGTATTCTACTGTTTTGTTCTCACCATTTTGGCTTCCCTAATAACAAAAGGACAAGGTAAGATTTTCCTATACCCAATTTTTTTCCTATACCCAATTCACACCAATGCTTAAAGGCTGTTTAGTTAAACATGGTTAAAAGTTGTATTCTTAGCATCTGCTTAAACCGATGTTTTTTAACTTCAAATTTAGCAGAATGAAAACAAAAATTAGTGATTATTTGAAACCTATGGGAAATTCTGTTATTCAATGTTTTAATTCAACTTAGTGGATGTTGTGAATGGGGTATTATTTGTCGTCTAAGAACTATTTCAAAGTTTTCTTAATCATCATATAACTTTTTTTTCATCTTTATCTACATAACTAAGCCTTGAAATATTCACATAAGCATTTTTTTATTAGTGCTAAAAACAAAAATTATTTTATTCATCTACATACCTGAAGTGGCATAAGACAACCGAATATTTCAAAGAAAGGTTTCATTTTATTTTGCAAAATATTTTGAAAAAGCAAAGTAGACCCAATGATAACTTGTTTATAATTCCCCCGAAATAGCTGCAAAACTACCTCTAATGTAACAATAATTCCTTTTAAACCATCACTAATTATCACAGATTTTTACAATAATATCGCGGTTTTACACGTTTATGAAAACGGTCGTCGGACAAGGAGAGCGTATATATATATTTATAATAAAGTTCGGATATAACGCGCGCTCTCATTGGTTGAAAGAGCGTGCTCTATGAGAGTATAGAGCATAGAACTTAGCTAAAGCTGTCACGCCATCTGCCAAATTGTACCATGTTCGACCTTTTCCGGGACTTCTTTTTCGCTTTTTTCCGATAATTGAAAGTGAAATTTCGGAACAAGCGAGCCGGCAAGTAGTAACAGAAGAACCAAAGAAAGGTTTGTAAACATACCAGGCGCCGTTATTTACGTTAGCAAAACGTGGGCAGATACGAAAATCCTCAAAGGAAAAACAAAATAGACATTCCGAGTTTTAGAGATTTTCACGCTCAGTTAGATTGCAAGCTTACGTACGGTAATGAAAATCAAACACAGCCAACACTCGTATAGTCTATAGAGTTCAGAGTTCAAAAACAAAACAGAACAAAACAGAAATGATGAAAAATATAACCAAACTGGCATAATTGTTAAAATTAATACTAATAATATAGCAAATATGATCATGCTGAAGTCCATCGCGGCTCACTTATCATGCCGATCTCCGGTCATCACAGTAAAGCAAGCCTCAGAAACTACATCGGCCGCCCTTCGAGTGAAAAAATAAGAGCTCGCTCTGATATCCTTTCCAATGTGTTGAGTGGAAAGTCACTTCAGTCACTGCAGCCGAGTTTTGCGGCGCTGTCATCCCGAGCGATCTTCATGTTCCGGTGAATTCGGCTGTCGTTCATTCATGCTGACGACACTGTTCTTCGCTTTGGAAATAAAGTTTGTTTTGAAAATTGAAAGTAATACATGGGAAATTTAACGGATTCTTTATTATAAAACAAATAGAGAAGCCTTGACTGTGCTCTGTTCTGTTATAAAGCACTTAGGAAGCGGCTAGAGCACTCAAGAAGTGGGAAGAAACACTCGACTACGTCTCGTGTTTCTCCCTACACTTTTTTCGTGCTCTAGCCGCTTCATGCGTGCTTTATAACAGAACAGAGCACAGTCAAGGCTTCTCTATTTGTTAAATAAAAACAGCCCTATTTTATTGCATTCATACGAACATGCATAAAGCCAAAATAGAAAAACACATTTAGGACATCTTCCCTTAATAATAAAAAATTGAAGGCTATTAATACACATTATGTATAATCGCCAAACAGCAACATCCTAGGGAAATGTATTCAGTCGTGACAACTACTGACAACCTCATAAATAAACAAAGAAGGTGGCCCATTTCAACGTATATTAAACTTCAGCTGTCTCAAATTGGTTTATCTTCCTTTTAAGTTGAAAACATTCACAAACGCTGTTCGCTGAAATTATGACAGGCAATTTCTGAGGACATGTTCTTTGCATCTTACTGCTTCGTTCTCGCCGTTTTGGCATTCTTAATACCAAAAGGACGAGGTGAGACTTTCCTATAGTTATCTTCTTGCTCATGTCTGAGTACTATTTGAAAATCTACCAAACCACTATGTTTCATTCTTGGTAGCCTTGTATATTAACTTAACTAAACTTTGAAATATTCATAAAAACTACTCCTGCAATTGATAGATATAATAAATTACTTCAGTGAAATAGTTCTCCCTTGGATAACATGAAATAACTTGCATATTTACGAGGAGTTCATATATCGTTTGAATTCATTTTGCACCTTATGATCATTATTTCGAAGCAACAAGATGGCGAACAAATCAGAAGCGAAAGTGTACTTTATAATCGATAATCACGTCTTTCTCTTAGCAATGTTGTCCGTGCACGTTTACAACTTTTCGATCCACGCAATCATTATGGATGAAATGACCACTGACAGGCCTTTGTGTCTTCACAACGAGAAAAATAACTTTTCGTGCAAAAGTGTCTTATCCTCAAATTTATAAAAATTTGGCGTTTGGTGAAATTTGGCTCCAGACAAAGGTGGTGCTGAGGTTGATTGAAATTTTCCAAACCTAAATCGAGGACTTTGTGTATTGCAGGTAGCCTTTACAGAAAGGAAGTTCTAACTTAGCTTGGGGCACAATTTTACTCTTCAGACACGTATACATAAACACGCATACGTTTAGTATTACTCCCAAAAACGAGCTTTTCGAGCCAAGCCGGTGGTTGCATGGAAAAAATTTGTTAAACAAATTTTGCGCAATCTTGTTTGATCAGAAGGGAGATTATTGAAAGTCGATTCGATTCTAAGTTTTTTTTTAAAGTGCCAGAAGAAAAATAGTGAAGGCAATCCGTCTTGCAAACTAAGGTCGAAATTTTTTGATCCACTAGGCTCCATATTAAAATGAAATGATGAAACTGACAATCAGTATATGATCTGTGTTTCGACGAAAATTACTTCTGTCCGAACACGATTTTTCACTTCGAATGATAAGCAGTATGATACGCTGATCTGGTGACTGATACTGTGCAAGCGGATAATATTTACGTTTCCCCTTTCGCTTTCTCGGGGAACTAGTGTTCACTTTATCGAACTTAAACACTGCTTAATCATGTTTAGTTTTTACTACAGAAAATAGGGGGGCTAGAGGGTGCAAGTCATTCATGTACGAACATGTACGAATGACACTTGATTGCATGAAAAAGTAGCCTCACCTCACAATCAAAGAATGAGAAATGAATATGAAAATAAGGAAAAAATTCCCCGTCAGAGCCAGCCCCAAAATTTCGAAACATCGACGTGTTTTGGTGAAACGGTCGTCTTTATTTGACGCTCAAATGTGGGCGAACGAGGATCGCGTGTAAACAGTTGCTAAAGAGTATTGTTGACTGCCTCCTACGTCGCACTCATACGGACATAATAAGCCACAATAAACCAACACATGAAGGAATTCTTCCTCTATTTTTATTCAAGTTATAGGCCACTGACATGCATTAAGTATAATCACTGAGAACCTCATAATCAGACAAAGGAGGTGACGTATTTTAACAAAAATTAAACTGCAGCTGTCTTATTTCGCCCAATGTTTCCCTTAGGGAAGAAAAACTTACTGTAGCTGTTCGCTGGAATTATAACGAGCGTTTGCGTTCTACTGTTTCGTTCTCACCGTTTTAGTTTCCCTAATACCAGAACGACAAAGTAAGATTTTGCTATACCCAGTTTCCACCAATGCTTAAACATGTTTTAAAGCTGTTATGTTAAACATGGTAAAAAATTGTCTTCTTAGCAGCTGCTTAAACCGATATTTTTCAACTTCAAATTTTTCAGAATGAAAATAAGATTGGTGTTTACTTGAAACCTATGTCAGTGATTCACATATCTGTTTTAATTCAACCCGGTTGATGTTGTGAATGGGGTATTAGTAGTTGTCTAAGAACTATTTCAAAGTTTTCTTAATAATCATATTTTTTTATTACCTTTATCTACATAACTAAGCCTTTAAATATTCACATAAGCATTTCCTATTAGTACATAATACAAGAACAATTTTTTTCATATACATACTTGGAGAGGCATAAGACAACCAAATATTCCAAAGGAGGTTTTAATTTGATTTTGCAATATTTTTTGAAAATGACAAAATTGAAACATATAAAATTTAGTGAACATGGTTTTTGGGCTGAGCCAAAAGGGAAGGTTTACTTTGAATAAACAGTCATTGTCTCTACAGTGATGTCCGCGAACCGCGTTTAATTTTGAACTTTTTGATCCAACACAATGGATAAAATGACTACTGACAGACCTTGGAAAAAAATGAGCACCTTAATTTTCGCGCTGTTTGGCTGTTTGGTACAGTTCGGCTTCAGTTGATGTTCATGGACTTTAATGAGCGGGCAGATGAAAGGAATAAGTTATTACCGATACACCGCAGAAAGAAAGTTTAAAATTAGCCTGCGGAGCAATTTCGCTTCACCCAGCCATAACAGGTGATTTCGACAAAAAAATGTGTTAAACAAACTTTACGCAGTCTGGTGTGATCGTAAAGGAGACTGATGGCACTGATCGAGTCATTGAGCTCCTTAGGATATTTTAGGTTCAAAAATATACTCTCTGCATCGGGAAAATGAATTGTCGGCGGTATCTCTACTTGATCAATTTCTCGTCCGCTCATTCATTCAAAAGTGTCCAGACCTTTAAAAGCTCATAATTTCCCAAAACTGTCAAGTCCTATTACGGTACTTTCAGCTCTAATTTTTCCTGCACCCCATATCCAGAGCCACCTGTAAAATTAAAGAATTTTCTCCTACAGTTATTTTCTTCATAATTTATTTAGAAGGCTAAATGTTTCTTTTCTTGTAATAAGTCTTTATAAAAAAGAGAATAACAGATGGGCAGGGGGTTGGAGGTTCTGCTGTTCTAATTATCCGCTGTTCTTAGTCAGCCTCGAGAAAAAAAGTTTCTTCATTGATGTCTATGAATTTCGTTTTTCAGGAAAAATGCTGTGGATATCTCGTTATTTTCTTGTCTGTGTTTCGTTCATCAACCTTGTAACCGCTGAGGATCAATGCAGGATAGAAATTAACATTCGTGGCATGGCTCTCAAAGGTTTCGTTTTCAAGAGAATGACAGTAGCAGCTCCTCACATCTGTGATATCTTATGTGAAAGGGAAATTACCTGCCAGAGCCATAATTTCAACAGAAAAGAACAGATCTGTGAATTGAACAACCGCACAAAGGACGCAAGACCCGAGAATTTCCGCTTGGATCCAGCGTGGTTTTATATTCGCCGTTTGAACGGAAGAGGTAAGTATTCAGCTAATAACGTTGGATGGTAATCATCAATATTTTGGTCATACGCTCGACTTTGCTTACAGTCCACGTTTTCTGATCTCCCGCGCTCATCGGTATTGATTTTTCTATCAATTCTTAATTCTAATAATGAAAGATATTAGTTCTATCCCTTTTTCTTTGTAGTTGCTTTTTAGTTTCCCACCAAAAGCGTAGCTCCAAGTTCTGCCGATAAACACATAACCCACAATTCCTCCACTCACTCTGACGAAGGGCTAACACTCGAAACATCTGTTTTGAAACTCTGAACGGTGGCCAACTTACGTTATCAAGTCAGTTGATAGCACCAAATTACCTTGTTATACTCTCCCACCGACGCAGCAACACAGTTTCTTTAGAAACTTACCCCCTTTATTCAGTTTAACTTTTAGTTAACTTCTTCACAGAACAGCTTTGATGCATGTGTGAAATAGTGATAACAAATTATTTATTTATTTATTTATTTATTCTGTAAAATGATACAAAAAGCTTAAGGTCTGGCAGGAAGATAAAAAAGCTGGTGGCTCTAAAGGAAAGGTTTAAAAGTGTGGGGGGCCCACTTCCCAAGAGAAGGGTGTTTGACAGAGCGTTTAATTTAACACATTTAAAGGCGGACTTTGAGTGAATGGAATTAGATCCTCATTCTAATTCTCTCTTATTTTTCACTCTCGGCTTTCGACTTGTGCACCTAAATATACTTAATTTTCAACATTTTTACCTACATACCAGCTCCCTTGGGTTCGATTCCGGAGTTACCAGCACGTTCATGCCGGGAAATAAAAGAAAGCGAAGGAAAAAACACTGCAAGCAACAAATACTGGCTGGATCCATCTGGCACAGGAAAGGCAGTTTTGGTTTACTGTGATATGAATTTAAAAGGTAAATCATCATTACGTCACCGTTAGTTTCACTTCCTGTTTGAATTGTAGATTCTTTCAATAGCGTCCCTGTTTTTCAAGATATTATAAATTGCTAAAGTCCTGAAATCATAGCATTGCGCAGTTTCGGCTTTATATTCAATTTTTTTTTAATAAAAAGGCCAAATAGGGCAAAAATACACACATAGGGAGACGCTTAAACCAAAATACACTTCGACCAACATTCTTACTTCAACATTTCAGTTATAAAGCAATTTTCTAATTTGTTCAAAGATAATTGAATCTTCTTCTCCATGTTATGCAGGACTATTTTTCTGCTAAATTAATGTGTAAGTTCCTATAAATGTAAGACAACTAAGGAGTGTTTTGCAACAACCAAGAAGTGTTTTGCGACACCCAAAAAGTGTTTTGCAACAACTAAGAAGTGTTTTGCGACAACTAAGAAGTGTTTTGGGACAACTAAGAAGTGTTTTACGACAGATAAGAAGTGTTTTACGACAGATAAGAAGTGTTTTAGGAGAACTTAGTAGTGTTTTTTTGACAACTAAGAAGTGTTTTGTGACAACTAACAAGTGTTTTGCGACAAGTAAGAAGTGTTTTGCGACAACTAACAAGTGTTTTGCGACAACTAACAAGTGTTTTGCGACAACTAAGAAATGTTTTGCGACAAGTAAGAAGTGTTTTGCAACAACTTAGAAGTGTTTTGTGACAACTAAGAAGTGTTTTGTGAAAACTAAGAAGTGTTTTACGACAACTAAGAACTTTTTTGTGACAACTAAGAAGTGTTTTGTGACAACTAAGAAGTGTTTTGTGACAACTAAGAAGTGTTTTGCGACAACTAAGAAGTGTTTTGCGACAAGTAAGAAGTGTTTTGCGACAACTTAGAAGTGTTTTCTGACAACTAAGAAGTGTTTTGTGACAACTAAGAAGTGTTTTGTGACAACTAAGAAGTGTTTTGTGACCACTAAGAAGTGTTTTGCGACAACTAAGAAGTGTTTTGTGACAACTAAGAAGTGTTTTGTGACAACTAAGAAGTGTTTTGTGACAACTAAGAAGTGTTTTGCGACAACTAAGAAGTGTTTTGTGACAACTAAGAAGTGTTTTGTGACTACTAAGAAGTGTTTTGCGAGAACTAAGAAGTGTTTTGCGAGAACTTAGAGGTGTTTTGCGAGAACTAAGAAGTGTTTTGCGATAACTAAGAAATGTTTTGTGACAACTAAGAAGTGTTTTGTTACAACTAAGAAGTGTTTTGCGACAACTTAGAAGTGTTTTGCGACAACTTAGAAGTGTTTTGCGACAACTTAGAAGTGTTTTGCGACAACGAAAAAGAGTTTGGCGACAATCAAGGAGGGTTTTGCGACAACTAAGAGGTGGTTTGCCACTACTAAGGAGTGTTTGTGACAACTGATTGTGGAGGCGAAGCAACAATCGAAGGGGAAGTAACAAACGTAAGTCCTACACTGTCGATTTCATAGAGAGAACACTAGATTTTGTGGATTCACTGAAATCATCAACAAATAAGTACCACAGTTGCAAAGCAATAAGGAGTCAACAGATCACTGGTGTTTAAGTGGGAAAAAAACAGAAGTAAACTTCCTGCAAAACTGACTCTTAACAAGACAAAGAAGAACACAGAGGAGAAGGACCAACAAGTAAAAAGTTTGGGCAGATGATGGCTGCGATACGATCCAGAAATTCCACAGGGATTTGAGGAAAGCCTTGAAAATACAAAGGAGAAGAAACAAGTCCTATACAGTTAACCCAAAGTATGGAAGATGGATACCTAAAAATAGATACAATATCGACTAGGTAGGTTCCTGTCCCATTTGTAAACGAGCAAGATAAAACCTACGACAAATTGGGTGCTAAGCTAGTGTGCGTGTCACAACCATCATCTGGGTTAGATAAACGACAGGCTACTCTAGAACTTTGTATTGGGGCATATGGGAAACAAAATATGAAGCCAGCTCTTATCTTCAGAGGAAAAGGGCATGTGGCCACTGAGAAGAAAGAAAAGTATCACAAGGGGTTGATGTGTATTTCCAGAAATGCCTAGATGGATGAAGAAATCAACATGCAGTGGGTCCAGGGCACACTTATTCCAGGAATTGGGAATGACAAAGAAGAAAAAGTTGTATTTGCAGACAATGTCGGCTTCCAACAAGGTCAATAATTCCATGAAACATGCTGAAGTTAGATCGACACTACAGTTTACGTGCTGCCTGAAAACCACACTGACAAAATCCGGCCCATTGATGCAGGATGTGGTCGGATTATGAGAGGTAAAATTGGTGCAGCAATGGAAACATGGCTGAAAGAGGATAATAATCTCGACAAATGGCAAGATAGACTTTCGGCAAAGGACAGAAGAGGGCGGATTACGCCCACGATTCGCTTTCCTCAGTCCGTTTGGATTAAACGTGGCTACTCTTATTTGTCTGCTCCGGATCTTCATTCTGACATTGACATATCGATTTTCATGGATGTGCCATCTAACCTGGATGTGTCTCTCGGTGATGACTCAGCCGCTTCAAAGGTTTGCAAGATTACCCTGCTATAGCAGCTAGTTTACAGAGGGGATAATGATGTTGTTTGTGTTTGTGAGACCTGGCTCAATAACTCTGCCATGGATTGTGAGCTTCTTTATGGCTACTCTATCTATCGAAGAGGTAGAGAAGGAAGCGTCGGCGGCGGTGTATTGTTCGCTATTGGAACTGATCTACAGGCCTTTCGCCGTTTTGATCTTGAGAAAGAAAACGCTGAACTGATAGTTGTTGAAGTTAAACGCTGAACTGTTTTCCCGTTATCTTGTACACTTTTTATTGCCCGCCTGGTTCTTCACCTGAGATTCTTCATCATTTGAACCCTTCAGAGCAATGCTGAGTCAAGTCGCATTGTTTTGGTAGGAGATGTTAATTATAATTTACTCTCTATCGACTGGTCCACCGATTTACCGGTCTCTTTGGGTACTGGGAATCATGCAATGGATGATATATTTTGTGAGTGGTTGGTGATAATTACCTCAAGCAGTTCGTAACTGGTCCAACGCACATATATATCTGGAAGCAAGTTAGATCTTTTTTTGTGTAATCGTCCAGAAATTATCACAGACATTCTCACTTCAACACCGGAGAAGTGTGGGTTTCCAGCGGATCATCACATTTCAGAATTTGCAGTCCTTTTAAAATTTAAGCTGTCTAAGCCTGTTCGCGCTACACCTATGATTTCAAACGCGGGAATTTTCAAGATCTTTGCAGTCTCCTGTCACATACCCCTTTGGAAATTGCAGTTTTTGGAGACATTAACGAGAGCTGGGCTTTATGGAAGGATTTGTTTTTGTTAGCTGTAGACCAATGTATACCTACTAAGTCTTTAAAAGATACTAACTCGCCTTCCTGGATAGACAGTGATCTTCGCCATCACATTCCTAAGAAATATGGGGCTCTGAGGAAATATCGCCTAAATAAGTCTGACGATAACAAACTGAAACTGCGCTCCTTGAGTCAACATGTTAAGTACCTGGTTAAAAGAAAACATCGCCTTTATTTGGAAAAAATTGAAGGCGCATTTTCTGAGAATCCAAAGAAAAAAAAAAACCACCGAGCCAAACCAAATTCAGTGATAACCTATAACGGCATAGAGGCTACGACCCCAGCTGAAAAAGTGGATCTTTCTAATTCTTATTTTTCATCCGTCTTTACTCCTCCGAGTCCCGTTGTAAACTACGATATTTCCGCTCTTTCAGTGCACCAGCATAGATCAGTTATGCAAGTAACGAAGTTGCGAACTGTTTAGCCACTTTGGTTACCTCTAAAGCGTGCGGCTCTGATAACACTCCTCCACGCCTTAAAAAAAGGGGCAATCAAATTGCACCTAGTCTTTGTTCACTTTTCAATCTCTCCTTACAAACTGCTCGCATACCGTCTGAATGGTAATAAGCTAATGTCACACCTGTACGTAAAAAGGACTCTATGGAATTGGGTGAAAATTATAGGTCTATTTTCTTATTATGTATACAAAGCAAAGTCCTAGAACGCTGTGTCTGTCTTAAACGTTACGATCATGTTAAGCAATACATCATTCCTCTCCAGCATGGCTTTTTGCGAGATCGCTCCTGCGTCACACAGCTGTTATCTGTTCTTAATACCACTGGTCATAACCTGGACAAAAATATTCAAACAGACGTTGTCTACCTGGACTTTGCCAAAGCTTTCGATTCTGTCGGTCACTCAGTTTTACTTCAAAAGCTCAAACGATATGGTGTGGAAGGATGGATGGTGTTGCCTTGCAGTGGGCCCCAGTTACATCGGGAGTTCCTCAGGGCAGCCTACTTGGCTCACGGTTCTATTTGTTGTTTTCATTAATGATCTGCTAGGTGTTCTACCTTCAGTTCCTTCAGTTCCATCTCGTCTATAGCAGATTGTGAACGACAACAACAAACTCTGACAAACCTCCATTCCTGGAGTCACGACAATAACATACGATTCAATGCCTCTAAATGCAAAGTTCTAACTATAACGCGCAAGAAAAAGCCTTTACTTCAAGACTTTTTTTTAGGCCCTGAAAAAGTACACCACGTGCGTGAGGAGAAGGATCTGGGTGTAGTTATCTCGGACAAACTTACCTGGGACTGACATGTACACCTGATTACAGCAAAAGAAAACAAACTTTTAGGTCTGCTGAAGAGATTATGTCCCTTGTTAATTAAAGTAGCAGTAAGAAGGTCCTTGTATTTAACGATTGTGAAGCCCCACCTTTGCTAAGGAACTGAATGCTGACATTTTGCTCTCTCAGTTTGCTTGTAGGATTGGGAACCTTGGAAAGAGGGGAGGGGGCTGGTGCATTATGAATTTTTGACTTTTGCTGAGTTTTCAGTTGGGGACTACTACCCCCCCTCTTCCCCAATGTAATTCTATTGCCTTCATTAATGTGGTTAAGGTTACTTCCATCCATGAATTGATTAAAATGTTCTGCTTGCACACTGATTTCATCTGTTAGTAGTCTATGAGGTATTTAATATTTAGGAACAATTTTAAGAACACCTTAAGAACATTTTCAGGCTGGTTTTGCAGAACAAACCCGATTTATAAGAACAAAATCAGCCTGAACCACTAAAACACGTGTTCTTTTAAGCGAAGCCAAAAGTAATTGTAACAATTTCTCATCAGTATCATAACTTTTATTTTTACTGCATGTGTTTTACGAAGGATTTACAGCTGTTTTTACAACTCTTGGTAAGAATGGAACAAAGGGTCCAGACTCAGTTAGCGGTCACTACACAGGTCAGGATCATGACGGACAAGTTACAGTGTCCGGCGGTATTCAACTGTGGACTGTGCCACACACTGGTAAATACAGAATAGAAACAATAGGAGCCTCAGGGGGATACGGTGAGGACAGTGTCATCAACGGAGGAAGAGGGGCGCGGATGATTGGAAACTTTATGTTGACCAAAGATGAGATCATTCGTATACTTGTTGGTCAGAGAGGGAGAGGAACCAAAAAAACTGCCGGAGGCGGAGGAGGTACATTTGTAGTAAGAGGAGACAACAAGCCTTTGATCATAGCCGGAGGTGGAGGAGGAGTTGCTAAAATGACAGAACAACATTCAGGATGTGATGCGTCCATAAACACAACAGGAAATGCAGGGTATAACTCGCCATTCCTGTCAGGAGGAAGTAACGGAAATGGAGGACAAACTGATAAACCGCACTCTGGTAGGTGAAGAATTTCCTATTTTTTTTTTTGCATCCATAAGTATTTCGAACAAACAGGTGGTACTGATCGCTCAAATTTGGATTTTTTTTCAGAATTACTAAAAGCCATGATCTGTTAAGTTGCTAATGTCGACTGTAAATCTCTTGATTGTAGGCGGTGGTGGCGGCGGCTTTTACAGTAATGGAGAAAACTCAAAGATTTCTTATGGAGGGGGAAAGGGAGGTAAAGGGTTTCTGAACGGGGGAGAGGGGGGAGCATATTGTGGTGGGTTCGGAGGTGGGGGTGGTTATCGTTCAGCTAATAAAATACCTGGGGGAGGTGGAGGGTACTCCGGGGGAGGTGGAGGTGCAAATAAAGATACTTCCTGTGGGGGAGGGGGAGGTTCTTTCAACAACGGAATAAATCAGCAAAATGAATGTTGTTATAATACTGCTGGACATGGTAAAGTGATCATAACATTTCTCCACTGAAATGTATGGCAGCACTTTCCTTAGCGTGTAGTGGTAATTCTGTTTTGAAGCGCTAATTGATGTTTGTTTTTGAACTCAATAGTTTAACTTTTTTGGGTCATTATTTAGATTTTGTTATTAAGCCGTGTTACTGTAAGACAAACAGCGCAATTTGTGGTACTAGAAGCGTTTATATTTGAGGTTTGAATTAAAATTCACAAACAACATTTGCTAGAATGGGTGAGTTTGTGAATTTTTACTGACCTCACCTTCTCCCACGGGGGGAGGGATGGAGTAGGGGGAGGGGGAAGGGGGGAAGGGACAGGGGGAAGGGATGGGGAGAATTAAGTTTGGCTCGTACGTTCTCAGTCAGTATGATGCATGAATATTTAGGTGATAGAAAACAGTGAACAACAAGTTATCCCACCTCTTTATTCACTCAAATTCTTAAGCGTTAAAAGCATACAATATTAGGGTGAGGCAAGATAATAGTTTGTAATCACCAGGGTGAGGACAATGTTAGCCACAAATTACTTTGGCCTATAAAATAAAGAAGATACAAATGCCAGGACTGTTTAGACTTTAAATAGCGAGCATGGGGGAAGTTAGTGATGATTGGTCAAATAATAACATATGGGTAATAAAGACTAAGTAATAATTTTGTAGAGAAACAGTTGTGAAGTCAGCTCTTCATATTCTTGTGCATTTAATGTCAATGAATACATATTTAACAATGTAAAGGAATGCAATCTTTTTTTCTCGATCAGCTCAAAACCAAAATCGATTTTCAATAATGATACAGTCAGTGTGACCCGGCTTGAGTTGTATGATGCATGAATATTTAGGTGATAGAAAACAGTGAACAACAAATTCTCCCACCTCTTTATTCACTCAGATTCTTACGCGTTAAAAACATACAATATTAAGGTGAGGCAGGATAATAGTTTGTAATCTCCAGGGTGAGGACAATGTTAGCTACAAATTACTTTGGCCTATAGAATAAAGAAGATACAAATACCAGGACTGTTTAGGAAGTTAGTGATAATTGGTCAAATAATAACATATGGGTAATGAAGACTAAGTAGTAATTTTGTAGAGAAACAGTTGTGAAGTCAGCTCTTCATATTCTTGTGCATTTAATGTCAATGAATACATATTTAACAATGTAAAGGTATGCAGTCAATCTTTTTTTCTCGATCAGCTCAAAACTAAAATTGATTTTCAATAATGATACAGTCAGTGTGACCCGGCTTCTTTAATTTTTTTGCCCGTTCACCTTCTAAATGTTGCTGCGCATGACACTGACTGTAGGCGATGGCACATATTTTTGTTTTTCTGCTAACATCTGGAATGTCTTTTCAGGAGGCTCCTAAATTATAAAGTCACATCAACAGACAGCAAGGTAAATTTGTGAAAGAATGAAAAAAGTATCTAAGTATCTTACAGGAAAGTTCGTGGATCCCCCAACTTTACTCATAGCTTTTATTCGTCCTTGATGTTTTTTTTCGCAGCACACGAAAACCGGCCTTGACTGAAGGTCTTTGGAGGGTAATCGAAAATTGTATGATGCATGGATATTTAGGTGATGGAAAACAGTCAACAACAAATTATTTTCTATGACAGCCTTGTATAGCAGGAGATTCCTGACAACGGCTATAAAAAGCGTTGCAAATTGTTTGAGGCCTTCCAACGCAGTTTCTGATTAGATTTCTGATTGAGCAATCGGAAGATATTAACTAAATAATTCACACACACTTTTCATAAGACATTAGTCACTCATTACAAGTGTCTCCTTTACTGAACTTAACTTCAGCGGAATACAACGAAGGTACTATTAAGTACAAAGTCAAATTCGCTAAATTGGTGGTGAGTTGCTATATAAAAACTCATCCTTGTAAATACGGCTTATTATTCACTCGCACAAAATGAAAACAAAAAGGAAGTAAAAAGAATTGTGACAATCAAGATTAGTTTATTTGACCAGATCATTAACAATGTTTTTCTTTCCTTGGAAGCTTTTATCTTATTACTTCTTCTCTCTCTTTCATTAGTCTGCACAATGATAATGAATCCATTTACACTGCATCAAGAAAAGTCAACATAAACGTGGTACTTTTGTTATAAGAACTTGAAAGAAAATCGATAAAACCCAAGAAATAAAACTATAAAAAATTGACATGTCACCATCGCTGTGCATAGCAAACATATTTTAGGGCATCCTGAATCTATGAAAAATAATTCAACGCTCGCATGATTTTTGTCTCTTAAATGACCAAAAAGAAAAAAAAGAACTTGCTAAATTTGAGAGTAATTCATCAAAATATGAGTCACTACGTAACTGAATTGCAAGAAAGAAAATAACCTTTTATAATGCAGAAGTTTAGGTGCGGCAAATGTTTCGTTGAAAATCAATCTGACTAAGGTAGTGTAATTTAACCATCAATAATATTGGTAGAGATCTTCATAAAAGTGACAAATTTGTACTGTGGACCGTAAGGTAGGGGGACCGCTTCTCCTGGATCAGTAATCTCGTTTCCTTGTTAGTCACAGCAGTTTGTCCGAGCTTTTGGGACCACAATCCTCCTGGGGGGGGGGGGTGGAGGGCGTAAGTCAAACATGTACGAACTTGTACGAATGACACTTGATTACATGAAAAATTAGCTTCACCTCACAGTCAAAGAATAAGAAATAAATCTAAGAATAAAAAACAAACTATCCGTTAGCCGCCAACCCCAAAATTTCGGAACATCAACTTGTTGTGGTAAAACGGAAGTCTTTATTTTACGCTCAAGTGTGGGCGAACAAGGAATACGCGTAAACAGTTGGTGAAGTGCGGTTGCCCACAACTGTCACGGCAAAAGAAATAACCTCGCGGCAAAAGAAATAACAATGTCCTCACGGCATAATAGAGGGCGTGGGGTCCGGGACGAGCTGTCGAGGTGCACCATGGGATAAGAAAATGCAGTAAAGGGGTCAGCGGCTGATCATCACTTCCCGCCATTTCTCTCGCCGTGAGTCTCTTTCTTTTGCCCCGAGGTTCTTTTGCCGTGACAGTTGGGGGCCACCTTAGTAAAGAGTATTATTAACTTCCTCATACGTCGCGCTCATACAGATATAATTAAGCTAGAATAAAACAACACATGAAGGACATCTTCCTCTATTTTTATTCAAATTACAGGCCATTGACATGCATTAAGTATAATTGAGTTTTACCAATCAACTGGTTCCCAGGGAAACTAATTCAGTTTTGAACCTCATAATCAGACATAGGATGTGATGTATTTGAACCAAAATAAAACTGCAGCTGTCTCATTTCGCTAACTGTTTATCTTAAGGAGGAAAAACTCACTCTAGCTGTTCGCTTGAATTATAACGAGTGTTTTTTTCTGAGAACATGCTGTCTGTTTTCTACTGTTTCGTTCTCACCGTTTTGGCTTCCCTAATACCAGAAGTACGAGGTAAGATTTTCCTATACCCAATTCACACCAATGCTTAAACATGTTTTAAAGCTGTTTTGTTAAACATGGTTGGAAATTGTCTTCTTAGCAGCTGCTTAAACCGATGTTTTCCAACTTCAAATTTAGCAGAATTAAAATATAAATAAAGTGACTTGAAACCTATAGAAAATTCAGTTATTCACATATCTGTTTTAATTCAACCCGGTTGATGTTGTGAATGGGGTATTATTTGTTGTCAAAGAACTATTTCAAAGTTTTCTTTATCATCATATGATTTTTTTGTTATCTTTATCTACATAACTAAGCCTTAAGCTTGAAATATTGACATAAGCATCTCCTACTAGTACTAAAGACAATAACAATTTTATTCATCTACATACCCGGAGTGGCATGAGACAACCAAATATTTTCATTTCGTGTTGCAATACTTTTTAAAAATTACAAAATTGAAAGAAATAAAATTTTAGGGAACATGGTTTCTGGGCTGAGCCAAAAGGGAAGGTTTATTTTGAATAAACAGTCACTGTCTCTGCAATGATGTCCGTGAACCGCGTTTAATTTTCGACTTTTTGATCCTACACGATGGATAAAATGACTACTGGCAGACCTGTTTGGCTGTTTGGCTTCAAAGTTCATATAAAGGCTGGTTCCATTTTTCATAAAACGTAATTCGAGGGGTTCATGTACTCCAGTGCGCGGGCAGAGGAAAGGATTAAGTTATTACCGATCCACCGCAGAAAGAAAGTTTAAAATTAGCTTGCGGAATAATTTCACTTCACCCAACCAAAACAGGTGATTTCGACAGAAAAATCTGCTAAATAAACTTTACGCAGTCTTGCGTGATCGTAACGGAGACTGATGGCAGTGATCGAGTCATTGAACTCCTTAAGATATTTTAGGTTCAAAAATATACTTTCAGCCTTTATAGTGCACGATCCAGTGCGAATGTGCGATCATGAAGATTCCCCGCATGAAAATTCCCCACATTTACTTTAATGTTTACTTTAATGGTTGATTGAATTTATTAAGGAGCGGAAACTTGAAGAGGCACCCAAAGGAAAGTTGTTTGCAACTAGTTAGAAGCTTTTTGAAATGGTAAAATTACTAAAAACAAGCTGGGCGATATTTATTTTCCTTTTCTTTCATAACATTACCAGAAATTCGAGTAATGGATCATATTTTAAGCCGAACAGCTTTTATAATTAAATGTTGCAGAGCACTGTACGGCGTTTAAAAAAATTCTTAAATACTTAAGCTTTGCGGGAAGATAATCATCTTCCCATGCTCTTAGAAGTTAGAAAACAATCACTAAAACGGTTTTAGTTTTGAGATTTTCGAAAATAAAATGTCAGACAAATTTTCATAGCCAAAAAAACCTCAAAACAGACTCATTGACCTATTGTTTATCAGAGCAAAGTAGTACGTGTGGTGTCCCCCAAGTCTCTATTTCAGGTCCTTTGTTATATACTATATATATGATCTTCCTTATGCATCTAAATTAATACAGCCTCTGCTTTTTGATGATGACACCAGCACCTTTTATTCTCACTCAGATCCCGATTATCTAGAGTCCGTTCTCAATGATGAAGTGTGAAATCTTGACATTTGGATGAAATGCAATAAGCTTTCAGCAGATTTTAAGAAAACAGGTTACATTGTTTTTAAATTGAGGCAGAAGAAACTTGGTAAATCTTTTTCCCTATCCTTTGGAAATCAGACATTGAAACAAGTAAAGAAACAAAACTCTTAGGTGTTTATATTGATGAGCATTTAACAAGGAAACCTCACATAAGCTTCGTAGCTAAACAAATCCCTAGTCAGCCGGCTGAGCAGATTAAGATGGAGCACTTTGTGTCGATTCGGTTCTAAGTTTTCTGAGTGTGAGAAGAAAAACAGTGAAGACAATGGCCGTTTTTAACTCGTGAATTGCGTGCATGCGCAAGAGCGAGTTATAGATACCATGTGGGGAATGGCATTCGCTCGCTCGCTCGCGCGATTGGTCGATTCCTGTAAACTTTTTTTAGATTTTAGGCTTTTGAGTGCATTTGATAGTTTTTAGCGAACAGTAAACAGAAGAAATGGCGACCTTTGTTGCTAAGAATAGTGGTGGGGTGAAAAAGAAGCCAATGATAATCTTAAAAGAGTTTTTTTTTTCGTTTTAGTTTCAACAAGCGGCGCCAGCGACTGGCAGGCATGCAAGGATTCACACTGAAATAACAGAACAACCTTCGTTTTTCATAAAATTGTAATTTACAATCCTTGAACTCGAAAACAATCCGAAATTGAAAATATTACTTACTGCGAAGCACTCGGAGTTTACATATGTTCAAAAGCTTTTTCTGTTATGGCATGAGATTGAGGACAAAATTGATCATTACGTTTCGTCGCGTGTGTTTTTCCTGTGTGAAGCAACAAAAGATGCCGGCGACTGACGAAATTACAAGTTAACACGAAAATCAGATAACACCTAAACAAACAATTTTAGCTACCGATTTTCAGTGAATTTTTAAAGAACAATTTTCTTTTAAGTTTCAAGACAATTTGAAGATTCAACATACATACAACGTACTAAAATGCGAAAGTTACACACCACAAAATTGATAAATAGGCCTGAAATGAAATTCTATCTTGTTATTGATTATACGTTGCCTAGCACGTGACTTAAATCTACCCAGGCGGAGATCCAAAATGACGGTGGCAGGCTTGGCTTAGTTATATCACTCAAAACTCGTTCCAGTTTGTCTGATTTGATAAAGAGGGAATCGTTAATGTTCTCATTAAGACAGTATTGCCTTGATTTTCTAATATTTACAATGAAAGACAGTAAATTTCACTTTTCACCCACATTTACTTCCAACCTTTTCTTTTGAACCAGAAACAAAAATGATAGACGTTTAAAACACATGACATCATCCACCTTGTCAAATGTAATAGCATGATCATTTCAATTGTAATGCCTTCTTATCCCAACGTTACTTTGTTTCTTTGCTACATTAGCGAATACTGAACTACTTCTCGTACTCTAGATATGACAATCAACCACCAAATTCCCTAAACCAGATAACATTAAACATCATGTGTCTAAATCATGTGTCAATTCACGAGTTTGCTCACAGAGCACTTTGATTATACTAGATGACGCGTTACCCGTCCAGTCGGATAATGCGTCTCTGAAGTTATTCGTCTGGTGTAAAGACGGGACGAACAACATAACGAGCAACAAGAGACGAATAATGAGAGTTTTTTTGGCGGTAAGTTTCAAGATGGCGGCCCTGCTGGAGCTTGTAAAATTGTTTTCCTGTAAAAGAAAAGCTGAAGAAGAGTTTTTAAGTTGCCAATATAAAATGAACGAAGAAATGTGTTCTTCTTTGAATTCTTCGATCGACATACTTTCCTCAAGAATTTTCTTTATCTCCTCGAAAACAGTTTTGTTTGTAGTCTTCTTCAACGCAAGTGTGTCCAGTTTGTAACCAAAGTCGTTTTCCTCGTCTGGCAGGACGAAGGCAAAGTACTTCAGCTCTCTTTCTGTCCATGAACGACTTCGCTGTTTCGTACCTGCATCAGCTGCAGCCGCCATGTTGTTATGTTTGGCGTTTAACCGCCAGCGTTTTTGTAACACGGTCTCATTAATTTTTAGCTTTGGCTTTGGCAATCGATCAAAATAGATGAGATCATCAAGAGGGAGATAAAAACTGCATCGATCAGTCGGGAGATACGTTATAAACATTCGACTGGTTTCAATAGAATAATCGCAAAGCCAAAAGCCAAAGCAATAATTCAGAAGAAATAGTGCTTTGCAGTTCGAGTTTAAGAGAGGTTCTCAATACTGCATAGCAACTTTCCAACTTTACATAATTGTTTCCAGGTAGCTGCCGCAGTTAATTGTTTACTACTTTTCCTAAACCTGGCTTCCGGTTGGAGAATCACACGCTTCGAACTATTGAAGTTGTTAACGAGGATCTCTGTAGATTCCAATGCTACCTGGAACCTAACTGCGTCAGTTATAACTTCTGTGAGATAAAACAGTTGTCTGGAAAACATGAGTGTGATCTGAATAACGCGACTATTGAACATGATGAAGACCTGGTGAAAAACGAAAGTTACATTTACCGCGGAGCAGAGGTGAGGATGAATTCTATGAGGGAAAAGTAATACCCTTTGTCCGAGAAAGCTCTGATACGAAATCAAGGGATATCCCCACCTCTCCTACTAATTTAAATAACCCTCTTGCACCGGGAATAAATGTAACGCGAACATCCACGTATATCACCAACAACCTTGCGTGGAAAGAGCGCAACAAAAGCACTCGCGAACAACAAATTAAGAGTACACTCGAGGACCACGAATGTGGACGGGTGGAATCAAGAAACCTCCAAAACCTAGCCCAAAAAACATAGCAAAAACACCATACAAAAACATACATGAGACATACGCACACTATTGCAAGTGCGGACGACAAACACACGGGAAGGATTTGTTAGCCTGCCAAAGCATCATTTTAAATTTCTCTATTCCTTTCCTTCCTAAGAATGCTTGTAAGAAAAATCCTTGTAAGAATAACGCAACATGCCAAGCTGGGTTTACAGACAGAAACTATCAGTGTTTGTGCGTTGATGGATCTGGATTTAAAGGCCATAACTGTAATGAGGGTAAGGAATCTTATACTTTTATCAGTATAGCTAATCACATGATTTCGAGTGAAATTTGGGATAAATCAACACGAGTATATTTTTAAAGGCCAGCCAAATTACACGAGCCCGTACGCTCGTAATCTTCTGCGTCTTTCGCACGAATTGTTGCGCTGGTTTAACTCCTGGATAATTTTATTCAGGGGGATCGCTGTATACTTTCAGAGTCGTTTCTGGAGGCCAGACTTTTCACCAGTTGATTGTCTTTCGTTGGATGTTTTTATTTTTAGCATTCGCCCTAAAACTCTGAATTAAAACATTGTTGCTTTCTCCTCACCCATCAGCCATTTTGTTTCGTTGTGCTTACGCGACTTACCTGTCAATCAGTTTGATTTTAACTTTGTGCACTGTTTGGGATAAATTGACGTGCTCTCGGCCAACGAGCATGCTGAAATTCTTGCATGTGCTTTAATGAAGAACACGATGTACTGATAAGTAACAAGTTTCGCACGCTCCTCCCCTAAACTTTATTTCTTTTAAGTGATTGGGCAGACTTATTTGAAAGGGATAAGCACCATACAATCACTAACATCTCAATAGTGTGAAAGTCTGAACATCACAGCAGATAGCCTTGGCTTTGAAGTTTGCAAGAAGAATGATCTAGGATAGCACAAGCTATTTGAAGTACAAAAGACGATTTATCTGAATAACTGTATTGCTACTCATGATTCATTTTAGAACCTGGTTCACCGCTTTTTTTTTTATCTGCATTGCTTTTACCGCATTAAGTCTCAATTTTTTCAATCGTGTCTAAAGTTTGAAACAGAAAAACAACGGTTTCCGGTCAGCGACATCATTCGACTTCGAGAGGCGCTCTTTCGCTTCTTGTTTTTCTTTCAGGATTTTTTTAAAATCCTGGCTTGCATACTTTACTACCTTCTCTCAAGAATTCTTCATCATAAGTATGCCGCTAAAGTTTTCTCAAATTCCAATAGTCAACCAATAGTCAAACTGTATCAATTTTCGCTCGGTCAACATTACCGCTACGGTTCTTCAGTTCTCTCATCCTCCCAACACCTTAAAAAAGTGCCCCGTGGCCTGAAATTGTGCTTTGCATTTGGTGCATTTCCACCTCTGACTCTGACATTTTGGATTTCAGTGGGTCGTAAGTGACTGAGTCAATAACGTAACCTGAAGGAAATGGAAACCTTGGTATTCTTGCGGTTACAGAAGACGTTTGAGCTGTATTTTAACTCTTCTATCTTCTAATGAAACCAGCTTTTGGTAGCATATTTGGACTTAAATGTCCAAATAGTTTTTAAAGAATGGCTGTTTATCAGCGTTCTTTTCAACTGCGGCCCTGAGTAAAAGTAGTATTGGCAAAGCCAAAAGTAATCGTAACAATTTCTTACCAGCATCATAACTTTTATTTTTACTGTATGTGTTTTATGAAGGATTTACAGCTGTTTTTACAAATCTTGGTAAGAGTGGAACAGAGGGTCCAGACTCAGTTGGCAGTCACTACACAGGTCAGGATCATGACGGACAAGTTGAAGTGTCCAGCGGTATTCAACTGTGGACTGTGCCGCACGCTGGTGAATACAGAATAGAAACAATAGGAGCCTCAGGGGGGTACAGTGAGGATAGTGTCATCAATGGAGGAAGAGGGGCGCAGATGATTGGAAACTTTATGTTGACCAAAGATGAGATCATTCACATACTTATTGGTCAAAGAGGGGAAAGACCGAAGCCGAATTCAAACAAAAAGACTGGCTCAGGCGGAGGAGGTACATTTGTGGTGAGAAAAAACAACACGCCTTTAATCATAGCCGGAGGTGGAGGAGGAGTTGCAAAAATGACAGAACAACATTCAGGATGTGATGCGTCCGTAAACACAACAGGGAATGCAGGGTATAACTCGCCATTCCTGTCAGCAGGAATGAACGGATATGGAGGACAAACTGATAAACCGCACTCTGGTGGGTGAAGAATTTCCTATTTATAAATACTGAATTATATTTTTTTGCATTCTACTGCCATCCATCAGTATTTCGAACAAAGAGGTGGTGCTTGTTGCTCAATTTTTTTTTTTCAGAATTACTAAAAGCCATGATCTGTTAAGTTGCTTATGTCAACTGTAAATCTCTTGATTGTAGGAGGTGGTGGTGGAGGCTTTTACAGTAATGGAGAAGACGCAAAGATTTCTTTTGGAAAGGGTGAAGGGGAGGTAGAGGATTTCTGGCCGGAGGAGAGGGCGGAACACATCAGGGTGGTTTCGGAGGCGGGGGTGGTTATCGTTTAGTTCATGAAATACCTGGGGAGGTGGAGGGTACTCCGGGGGAAGTGGATGGTACTCCGGGGAAGTGGAGGTGCGAATAAAGATCTTTCCTGTGGGGGAGGGGGAGGTTCTTTCAACAACGGAACAAATCAGCAAAATGAATGTTGTTATAATACTGCTGGACATGGTAAAGTGATCATAACATTTCTCCATTGAAATGTATGGCAGCACTTTCCTTAGCGTGTAGTGGTAACTCTGTTTTGATGTGCTAATTGATGTTTGTTTTTGAACTCAATAGTTTAATTTTTTTGGGGTCATTATTTAGATTTTGTTATTGAGCCTTGTTACTGTAATACAAACAGTGCAACATGTGGTACTAAAGGCGTTTATATTTGAGGTTAGAATTAAAATTCACATACAACATTTGCTAGAATAGGTGAGTTTATAAATTTGTACTGACCTCACCTTCTCCCGTGGGGGAAGGGATGGGGTAGGGGAGGGGGGAAGAAGGGAAGGGATGAAGGGAAGGAATGGGGAGAATTAAACATGGCTCGTACGTTCTGAGTTGTACGATGCATGAATATTTAGGTGATAGAAAACAGTGAACAAAAATTTTCTCACCTCTTTATTCACTCAAATTCTTACGCGTTAAAAGCATACAATACTAGGGCGAGGCACGTTAATACTTTATAATCTCCTGGGTGAGGACCATGTTAGCCACAAATTACTTTCGCTTATAGAATAAAGAAGATACAAATGCTAAGACTGTTTAGACTTTAAATGGCGGGCATGGTGGGAAGATAGTGATAATTGGTCAAGTAATAACTTATGGGTAATAAGGACTAACTAATAATTTTGTAGATAAACAATTGTGAAGTCAGCTCTCCATGTTCTTGTGTATCCAATTTAAATGAATACACATTTAACAATGTAAAGGTTCATTATGCAGTCAATCTATTTTTTTCTTGATCAGCTCAAAACTAAAATTGATTCTCACTTATGATGGGTTCTTTAATTTTTTTGCCCGTTCATCTTCTAAATTTTGCTACACGTGACACTGATTGTAGGTGATGGCACATTCAAGTTAACGCAAAACCTTATTTACTTGTTATATTCTGTTTTTCTGCTAACATCTGGAATGTCTTTTCGGGAGGCCCTCGTGCTCTTTCACTCAAAGTGGAGTAATGCACTGTAATTTTCACGGAGTTGGAAAGAAGGTTTCTGCTTAATAATAGTTAGAAATATATTGAGAACATTCTTTTCTGGTGGATTGACTAAAGGTTCCCAAGAATTGTTTCTATGAGTTACAGAAAAGAGCAATCACTTTCCCCTATATTGTCGGTCCATAATGTAGATTTTGTAAATTCTAGTGAAACTCAATAAATTGATGTCTGGCTGTCAGTATTTTCTTCATGTGTGTTAGTTAAACCTAAATTATAAAGTCACATCAACTGAAAGCAAGGCAAATTTGTGTATCTGACAGGAAAGTTCGTGGATCCCCCAACTTTACTTATCGTTTTTACTCGTCTTTGATGTTTTTTCGCAGCACCCGAAGACCAGACTTAATTGAAGGTCTTTGTAGGGTAATCGAAAATTGTATGATGCATGGATATTTAGGTGATGGAAAACAGTGAACAACAAACTATTTCTGTGACTATAAAAAGCGATACGAACTATTTGAGGATTTCTGATTGGACTTCTGATTTGAATAATTCACGCCCATCTAACTGTAAAACAGAAAAATACGTCCAATTATAAGCCCCTTCCCCCCCCACCCCCCCACCCCCCCTCCCCTCAGATGTAAGCTCTCTTCAAGCTTTTCCTGTTTTAATAGATAGGAACTCTGAGCAGTTGGAAAAGTCATGGCACGTGGAGCAATAGGTTTATTACTTCCTTTTGATTATCAAAGATGAACCTTCGTTTTGTTATGTTTCAGTTCTGTTCGTGTTGTTCGAGTTGCTAGATCAGGATTAAAAAAAAACTCCTCATCATCGGGCTACATCAGTTGAGTTTCTGCTGACAGTGAGTTCCAGTATTCGCTGACTGGCCTTGGCCTGAAGATCATTAAAAACAGGTGCTCGACAAGCTTGCACAAATCAAGTGTTCACATCATTCCTCATGACTCTGTTGCGTTACTCTAAAAATCTACAAGTAACACAACCATCGATTCCTTTTCAATTTGGCTTCAATCCGCAAGGAGACTCAAGGCGCCTCTGGTACTCCAAAAACATTGGCGGTACTTGGACGCTCGATGTTTTACTTACAAGTAAATCAAGCCTCAATTAGACTCAAAACTTCAAGATGAAGGCAAAAAAGAGCCGTTCAGCGCGCGTCACGGAATAGAGCATAATTTTTTATCTCGTGTAGAGCGATTGAGTGCAATCAGAGTGTGTAAGCTTTGTGATCCAGTTAGGTGTCAAGTGTAGAGGGACGGAATAGGAACAGAGCCAGCTTTATGATCATGTGTGAGGTGACTGAGTGGAAACATAATGCAACTTTTGTGTTTATTTAAAGAGCAATCGAGTGTCAACGAAATAGAAGCCTTTTAATTAAGTTTGAATTGATAGAATGATCACAGAGCATAAGTTTTGTGAATCAATTAGTTCAGCGAAAAGTAAACGATGAATTAATACGAACAAAAACATAAGATTGGTAATAACGTCTAGACTTACTGAGCATCAAAAGAGCATGAGCCTTGTGATCACGCAAAGAGCGATACTACATTTTGTAAAGAACGTGCTACCTGTAACTTTGTCGGTTCATCAGTCGACAAACTTGAAAAGTTTCAAGATTTAACTAATACATAAGAACGTTAATGAGAGTCCTGACATGTATACAATCAATAGATTAAAACTAACTAGTTTATAATCTGTTGATTCAACTAATTGTTCAGAGATGTTTTTACACTTTACAAGACCACGCCAAGTCAGTAGATTTTTTTGAGAAGTCAAATTCCTCTCTATTGATGTATATCATTTACTCTTATCATTGCAAATTGTTCTTCCTCGTTTCTCTCCTTCGTTTTATGATTATACGTTCACAAAGCTTTATTTTCAAGCATTATTATTCGAAGTATAAATGTCTAATCTAAGAAGGCAAAAAGGAATGAATGGAACAACGCCAATGTTATGATTACAAGCTATCAGTTGTAACATTCAAGCAGCAATTTCTGATAATAAAAAAGTCCTGCTTTATGTTCTTTTGGAATTGTCACCTTCTGAAGTCCTCAAGTTAAACTGCTGACTAACATTGTCAAAGATGCAAATTAAAATTTGTATCTTAATCAAAATTCAGTTGAAATATTTAAATTAAATCTCTCAAGACAAAAATTAAAATTTGTATCCTTAACTCAGTGCTACATCACTTGCACCCACGATACCACTAATCGGCACTGATAGCCCTAATTCAGCTCATCCAGAGAATAAATACACTATTTTTAGTTGTAATTTTTGCTAAGTCTATGCCTCATGGACTTCTGATCGACAAAACAATAATTCGTTAAATATTCAGACACGTAACCTTTTATTCGCGTTTTCCAATTTGAGTACAGCTGAAACGAGTCAGTTGTTATGGAGACTATTTCCAGCAGAAGGGAAGTGATAAGTTTTTAATTCGCAATTACAAATTTACATTTGCATTGAAAAGTCTGAAAGAAGACTTGAAGTAGCGCATGGACGGGGCTTGTCATCCGACAAAATTAAAATTCAATTTCTTGTCGGAGAGTTTAAATTTGTTTGACAGGCTCTTTGGTCTGTTGATACTAAGTGTTAGCTTGTGAATCACCTTCTACCCTCCCCCCCCCCCCTTACTCTTCCTTTTTTTAAAAACGGAAACTAAAAGGGTGCTGAGGTGAACGGCCTGATGAAGGGAGGGGGAGGGGGGTGGAGGGCACAAGTCATGCATGTACGAACGTGTACGAATGACACTTGATTACATTAAAAAGTTGCTTCAACTCACAATCAAAGAACGAGAAATAAATATAAGAATAAGAAACAAATTATCCATTAGCCGCCAACCCCAAAATTACGGAACACCAACATGTTTTGGTAAAACGGTCGTCTTTATTTTACGCTCAAGTGTGGGCGAACGAGGAATGCGTGTAAACAGTTGGTAAAGTACGGTGACCCACAACTGTCACGGCAAAAGAAAAAACCTTACGGCAAAAAGAATAACTTCACGGCAAAAGTAAAGTTAAACACTCGAAGAGAAATTCCATATCTACGCGCGTCCATGTATTACTCTCTATATATTAACTTCCTCATACGTCGCACTCATACGGATCTAGTTAAGCCAGAATAAAACAACACATGAAGGACATCTTCCTCTATTTTTATTCAAATTATAGGCCATTGACATGCATTAAGTATAACTGAGTTCCACCAATCAACTGGTTCACAGGGAAAATAATTCAGTTGTGAACCTGATAATCAGACATAGGAGGTGATGTATTTGAACCAAAATAAAACTGCAGCTGTCTCATTTCGCTAAATGTTTATCTTAAGGAGGAAAAACTCACTCAAGCTGTTCGTTGGAATTATAACGTGCGTTTCTTTCTAAGGTACTTGCTGTCTGTTTTCTACTGCTTCGTTCTCACCGTTTTGGCTTCCCTAATACCAGAAGTACGAGGTAAGATTTTCCTATACCCAATTCACACCAATGCTTAAAAATGTTTTAGAGGTGTTTAGTTAAATTTTTTTTGAAAATTGTCTTCTTATCAGCTGCTTAAACCGATGTTTTTCAACTTCGAATTTAGCAGAATGAAAATATAAACTAGTTTTTTCTTGAAATCTATGGAAAATTCAGTTATTCACATCTCTGTTTTAATTCAACCCGGCTGATGTTGTGAATGGGGTATTATTTGTAAATGTTGTCTAAGAACTATTTCAAAGTTTCCTTAATCATCATATAACTTTTTTATTATCTTTATCTACATAACTAAGCCTTGAAATATTCAAATTAGTACTTAATACAATAATTATTTCCTTCATCTACAAACCTGGAGTGGCACGAGACAACCACGTATT